AATCTTACCAGCCAGAGCATCAGAGGCAGGCAGGGTTCTGATGCATCTAATAGAAAACATGTTGGATAGCCAGTTAGTGACATTATTTTGATTCAGTAAGAGAAAGTGCTAAATGTATCCTTGAGGATTTCTCTAGGAGTCAATTTTCCTCCCTCAAGTCTGAGGGTCATGTAACTTATTCTCCACTAAAGATATTTACACGTGAAGGCAGAAAAACCTAACACCAGACTGGCTTTGCTCTCTTGGTTCCCAACTCCCATTGTTTTTCTTTCTTTTTTAAAAAATTTCTTTAGGTTCTGGGGTACATGTGCAGATCATGCAGGATTGTTGCATAGGTACATACATGGTAAGGTGGTTTGCTGCCTCCTTCCCCCACATCATCTATATCTGGCATTTCTCCCAATGTTATCCCTCCCCAACCTCCCTGTCCCTCCCTTAGCCTCCTCAACAGACCCCAGTGTGTGATGCTCCCCTCCCTGTGTTCATGTGTTCTCATTGTTCAGCACCCACCTATGAGTGAGAACATGCGGTATCCTAACCCCCATTTTAAGAAGATAGGTTCCTGATGTTTTTGAGTTGCTGCTCTTGTTTTGACCTCACTTCATTTATTCATTGAAATCTGCTTTTTCTCTTCTTCCATTGCTGACATATCTGAGATGCAATTCTTCTCAAGTAAAATCATCAAGTATTATTCATATAATTGCTTCTATATGTTTTATAAGCCTAGGGTCAAAGTTGATCACTTTTCCAATGTATCGTATTCCTCTTTATTTCTACCACCATAGACTAATCCAGGATTCTCTTTCTTTCCTAGATTATCATCATTTCCTCTTCATTCTTTTCAGTTCTGTACCCTCCTTGACCATGCCATCTGCCCCTATCAAAGGCCTGCAGAGATTTTCTTTCTTTTTTTTTTTTTTTTAACATGACTGGTCAAGCTTAAAATCGTTACCTTCTCCCCAGTATTTTATTATAAAAATTTGTGAACAGAAAGTTTACAAAGGACCCTGCTGTATCCATTATTAGAATTCTGTCATTAACATTTTGCCCTACTTCCTTGTTATCTCCCATATATCATCTGTGTATCCATCTATCTATTCATCTAGCTTACCTTTTGATGCATTTCAAAGTAAACTGCAGACAGTACTTTTCCAACTAAATACGTCAGCATGCAAATAAATATGATATGTAGTTTTTCTTTTGATATAAAACATATCTATTGAAATACAGAAATCTTAAGTGTACATTCTGTGAATTTAGAAAAATGGATACAACTATAGAACCCTAATCCCTGTCAAGATATAGAACTTGTCACCCCGGATACTTTCATCATGCCCCTTCTCAGCCCACACTGTCATTCTTATCCCCATGGCAACAACTGTTTTGAATTTTTTCCTACTATAGTTTTGTCTGTGCAGTATTTCATATAAGTGGACCCAAATGATAGGGACTGCCTTCTGAAGGTATCTTTAATGTAATGTTTTAAAGTCCTTATTCTTTTTTTGAAACCCTTCACTAGGAAACCCTAAGCTTTTACTCCATTTTTATCTCCCAACCCATCTCCTTTATTCTCTCAGGTAAAGATTAATCTGTTAATTTTCCCAAGTTGTGTCAGACCTGTGGAGTATTGCTGCTGTCTTCAGTCCTCATAAGAAATGAAAGGGAAAAGATTTGCTGCTTTCCTTAGAGCAGTTAGATGCTTACTATTCTGTAGCTAAATCTAGAATATTATAGTTAGGAGTCAGAGAGAGATTGATTTGTGGTTCCCTATATAACATGCCTTCTGGAATATTAATCCCTTTGATGAGCATTAGAGAAAGTGTGTCATATAGGGAATCTCTTGAGCAGAGAAGAAAAGCACCATGTGAATATGCCATTTTGGTAAAAGACAGTGAAAACTTCTGTTGACGCTTCTATTAAGTGAATAATAAGTACAGATGCCTCTTGACCTATGATGGGGTTATATCCAAATAAACCCATTGTAAGTTGAAAATACCATAAGTTGAACCATTGTAAGCCAGGGACTGTCTGTATTTTTTTTTTTTTTCCATTTTCACAGTATTTTCCAGATCTCTTTATGGTGCAGTTATCTTGATTTCATAGTTGCTAACTTTTCAGGTGGGTATTAATATCATGTTAATAATATGAATTTGTTACTAACTTCATACAGATTTTATTTCTGCTATTACATTTTTAAATGTCCTTGCAGTCATTCTCACTCATTTCTCTTGTCTCATTGTGTCTCTCTCCTTATGGTTTTCTGTTTCTACTCTCTCTCTCTTCCTCCTTCCCTCCCTTTTTCCTTTTATTCCTTTGTTTTTCCTTCCTTCCCTCCCTTTTTCTTTTCTTTCACCCTTTCTGTCTCTCTTCCTCTTTCTCTCTGTCTGTCTGTCTGTCTTTCCCCTTCCCTTTCCTTTGTGGCAGGGCCTCACTCCCATTTCCCAGGCTGGAGTGCAGTGGAGTGCATCATGGCTTCATTGAAGCCTTGACTTCTGGGGCTCAGAGTAATCCTCTCACCACAGCTTCCCTAGTAGCTGAGACTATAGACCCACGATGTCATGCCTGACCAACTAATTTTTTGCATTCTTATTAGAGACAGGGTTTCGCCATGTTGTCCCGGCTGGTCTTGAATTGTTGATTTCAAGCAATCCACCTGCCTTGGCCTCCTAGAGTGCTGGGAGCACAGGCATGAGCCACTGCGCTGGGCCTTCTCTTTCTGTTTTTTAGAAAATATGGCTTACTTCCTTTTGTTTATGCCAAGTACCTTATGCATGTTTGTACAAATGCCTATAGAGAATTATTTTTCAGAAGATTGCTTTTTTGTTTGTTTGTTTTTTAAAGCTTTGGACTGATACTCTCTTGTCTTTGTAATTCTTTTTTTTTTTTTTTGTTTGGCCTTTTTTTTTTTTTCCTAGTCTCTTTTCTGTTCTGTTTGATTAAGGATAGATTTGTGTAGAATCTGTTTGTCAACAAACACAGGATCTAGATTGCCCCTGTCCCTGTTCTGTTCACTTGAGTTCTAGTTGAAGTTGCTTTTCCTCTCTCCAGTGTAGAATTAGTTGTTTATATACAACCTTTAGCATATGCCTATTTTAAAAAAGCTGTCATCTAGAGCAGCTCTGCTGGACAAGAAAAGATTTTGTATTGCTTCTTTTCATCGCCTTGCTCTTTGACATTCTAGTCAGAGAGAATATAAGAAAGCCTATGTGTGGTTCTCAAATGTGCTACTTGCATGAGGTTTCCTGTCTCTTTTCTGACTTTATGAATCTTTAAAAGGATTGCATCTCCTATGTTTCTGTGTGCCTTTGCTGGAACTACCCTCCTCCCTTCTATACAGAACATAAATATTTTCCAGGAGTTTCAGGTCCCTTCTGAATGTAGAAATGTAGAAAAAGAGGAAGTCATGTGGATGTATACATATGCAATATGGGAACTACTGCCCAGCTTTATAAGTGACACATACTTTGTATTTCTGAGTGAGGTGGTAGACTGGGGGAAAAAACAAAGCATCTTCCTTTCTATAATCTTGCACCTATTTGATTTTTTTCAGTATACACTGCTATTTGTTTTGTATCTTTGGGTCTAATTTTGTTGCTTTCATAATTAATAGAATTATTTGCAGATTCTAGCAGTCAATCAGTTGTTAGTTTGAACTATTATTAATAATAGACAACACTTATTAATACATCTTATGTGTTAACACTGATATAAGTGCCTTAAATGTATTAACTCATTTAATTTTCATAGCAACTTATGTGTGGTACTATAATTGTCACCATTTTATAGATGGGGAAAATGAGGCACAGAGAAGTTGAAAACCTTGCCTAAGAGTACCAGGTTAGGGTGTGGTGCAGTCAGCATTTGAACCCAAGAGGTCTGTATTTTTGTTGATGGCAGTTTTTGCCTTTTTAACCCCATCTTCATAGGCTGGTGCTCCTTTCCTCCTCCGTCGTCTTTTATGACTACGTAAGACTATTTAGGGACTGGCAACTAGATAGCATTTTTAAAAGATGACCTTTAAAGATGACCTTTCTGAAATTTAGATATGGTACATAAAAAATACATGTGTGTTACATTATGAAACAAATTGTTAAACTTTCAAAAGAATGAATTTGTTTAGATTGCAAATTTATTGAAAATAAGTTAACTTGTTCTTTGTAGTTCTTAGTTATTGGTCACAGGTGAGCCAGATTGTGGAGGATGGAGGAATTAATGGGGTTGGAGACAGAAATTTACTGTTTGACAGTTAAAGACATGGGAGGAGGTAAGGAAGGTTTTCGGTAGTTAATGGAGGATATATTTAGCGTGTAACAGTTTGGGTTCTATGTGTATATCTTTGTGTTCTCTGCGTTGAAACTCCTTTAGAGAACTGTGTTTCTATATCCACATTCTTGGAATACAGTGCAGCATCCTTCACAAGGTAACTACCTGGTAACATTTGTTGATCATGATTTATTTAAACTCTTTTTCAGTAAGATTCTTTATCAACATCATTTCTAAATTCTCTAAACATTAAATCTACATTAGAACTTAATTTTGTCTGAGTTTAAATGTGCTGTGGCCCTTCAACATGGCTTAATGGAAAGGGAATGGGCTTTGGAATCCATTCAACTGTAGTTCAAATCTACACACTGGCACTTTAACTATGTGATCTTGAACTAATTAGTTACCACTTTCAGCTGCTTTTTCCTTATTGTAAAATGAAGATATAATACCTCCCTTATCTTTAGGCTGTCTTAGGATTCAATGCAAAAACATGTAAATTTTTTTGTGCAACAAATGTAGACTGCTTTGATATTATTTAAGCACTCAGTAAATGTTTTCTAGAAAAACAGCAACTTCACATATTATACATGCCAACACTACAGTTTGAAAAACTTGATTTAAAATAGTGTATATGATATGATGTTTTAACTTCAAGAGCAAGCATACTCAGTTGAAATATGAGTGAAAAAGTAGCCTATGAATAAAAAGTTTTTTTCTTGTCCTTCCTACCCCAGGTCCTGAGGGAGTCTAACAAGTTAGCAGAAATGGAAGAACCACCCTTGCTTCCAGGAGAAAATATTAAAGACATGGGTCCGTAATGGTATTTTTTGCTTAATGTCCTTCTCTGTTCTGACTGTGCAGACTGTTCGGTACTCTCAGCATACAGAGAATAAACTGGCTGTCAGAGACACCTCCTGTCTGGCAGCACTCTTTACCTGCAGCCTTCCCAACATCTTAGTGTGTTTTACAGACCTAGGCCTATATCCGCTGCGAGTATTTCTGTTTGGACTACTGGGAAACGTGCAAATTGAATTATACATTGCCTCTTCTCTTGTTTGCTTTACTGTCTTTAAATGTAGGGGGCTTTTTTCTAAAACTTTTACTGAATTCTGTGAAGGAAAATTCTAGCATTTTGAATTATTGTATTCAGATACTGAATTGCCTAGATAAAAACATTGAATTGTCACCTTACACAAGTAATTTTTCTCAAAACACATTCTCTTCTGTTTGCCTCCTTTATGTCTTCTCTGAATAAACTCAGGTTAATTTTTGGATGAAAGATGTCATCTCCACTGCATCTGTTTGTATGTAGATGCCTTTCTCTGCCCAGCCTAATATTTATAATATGGACTAGAAACTGAAAATGAGCTTCTAAGCTATTCTTTTTTCCTCATGATTTTGCTTTGTTTCATCCATATGATAATCTGCAGATATCTGCTCATAAACTCTGAAATAAAGTAATATGTTAGAAGAATGAAGTAAATGATTTCTTAGTTAATATAGCTACCATCTTTCATTTTGGTACTAATCACAATTTTTAAACAGGATTTTAAAAAATGCTTAATTTTACTTGGCTAGATGTCATTTCTGTGTGTAAAAATAAACCCAAGGGAGGACCTATACGCTAGATGGATTATTATTTACTAAATTTAGCTTCCCAGTCTTTAGCATGGTATCTGTCTTTCCTTGCTCTTGACTCTTAACTGAATAACCTCTTAGTCGTTTTCTTTTCCCCACTCAGCCTTAGGTATACACTAAGCTCCCAGTCTGAACTACTTACTTACATTTTTTCAGCATTGGCTATTTTATAATGACAGTAATTATTATTATTGAGTGCTTACTATCTCAGTCATTCTCAAAGAGTATATTCTTGAGCACTATTTTATAATGACAGTAATTATTATTATTGAGTGCTTACTATCTCAGTCATTCTCAAAGAGTATATTCTTGAGCACTATTTTATAATGACAGTAATTATTATTATTGAGTGCTTACTATCTCAGTCATTCTCAAAGAGAATATTCTTGAGCACTATTTTATAATGACAGTAATTGTTATTATTGAGTGCTTACTATCTCAGTCATTCTCAAAGAGTATATTCTTGAGAATAACATTAACCCCATTTTGTAGATGAGGAAACTAAGGCATAGAGAGATAATCTAGCTAATAAGGTTATATCTAGCATTGTGACAATTTCTTTTTTCTTATTCTGAACTTAATGCTATAATTGCAGCTCCCATTATGAAATACGGCTTTATTAAAGACCTTCAAGTTACCACTCAGTCTCATTTGTTGGCTCCTCTTTCTTTAATAGCAGCACGCCCTAGGACTTCATCCTTGACCCACTTCCCCTTTTCCTCCTATATACTATTTTCGGTTTACCATATCTAAATTAGTAACGTCACTTTCCATATATTGGCTGACGACTCCAAAATTTGTATCTCCAGTGTGAACCTCTGTCCTAATGTAAGTATACAGATGCCTGTGCCTTAAACACGCATCCTTTAATATCTTATAAGAACCTTATACCCAACATCTCCAAAATGGAAATCATTATGTTTAACGCCAAACTTACTCTTTCTTTTTACTTTCAGTTGACGTCAATACCAGCTGTCCATTTACTCAAGTCAGAAATCTGGTTATCATACTAAAATGCTTTTTTTTTTTTTTTTCCTGGACTCCTAACATCCAGTTAGGTAACTGACCTGGAGGAGTCAGTGTCTAAGGATTTCTTGTATTTATCTTTTCTCCATTTTCATGATCTCTTGAGGAATGATAGATGGTACAGAACAAAGCAAAGACTAATGATGATAATAGTAACATAGGTATAAACCCTTGTATTTTTGTATTGTACTTAGAATTTTAGAAGCACTTTTATGTATATTATCTCATGATTTTAGAATAAAGGGGAAGGTGTTAACAGAAAAGCACTGGCCTGAGAATGACATTCCTGTGGTGGGATATAGGATAATAAGGCTGATTTTTCTTACACCAGTAAGAAAACTGACTCTAGGAGGAATCCAGAAATGTCTTTAGTAACCTTGAATAAAGCTTTCCTAGATGAGGTAAAACTTCATAAGGGAAAAAAAATATTTGTACAAAGCAAGTTTGTGTATTTTTATGATAGGTTCATTTCCTCTAAATGAAAAGCTTTCCTCTAAATGAAATGTGCATTGGAAACAATGATACAATTTAAGTATATGTAAATATGCATTTAAACAATTTTAAAAAGTAGTTTATACTTAAATTGTTCCCAAGGGAACTATTTTGAAGGTTAGAAATGACTGTTAAAAGATCAGTCTCATTTCCGACTCCATACAAAGCAGGCAGTTCTTCAAAGTGTTGAATGAGAACCAAAGTCAGGAGGTTGTAATACCTTATTAAATATGTTTGATGGCCCCAAGTTTTCCCAGAAGCCCCTTGAAAGGGTCTTGGAAAGTTGTTGCTCCGTAGAATTGCTCCTTACTTTCTTGGAATGATGAAGATACTCCTTTATCTGCTGATTTGCTATAATAATGACATGCTAGTAATTTATAAATATTTTAAGATATAAAAACCATGTACTGGACATTATAAACTGTGGCATTTTAAATAATATTTTGAGATACTGATTCCTAAGTCATCCCGCATAATCAGTTAATGCATGTTTTACAAAACATAATGCCATGTAGATTCATCATTTATTATTTAATAAAACATTACTTGTGATTATTTCTTTAAAAAGTCTGGCATTGGTTGGTCATCATTATAATACCCTCTTCTTATACTGTTATCTTTCTAAGAAATTGTATTTTAAATGTGTGTCATTTCACCTATGAAATTTTCCCTGTAAGTGATCAGATCAGGAGTTTGTGGAGTAACATATGTTTTGGATATTACATCTTTAGAAGAATGTTGACAAAGTGGACTGTGGGCAACAGGAAGATCAGGAGATTGTGAGGCTGCATAGAAACTGCAATGAGATGATGGCGACTGTGCCTGGACATGCGTATTGTTGATACCTACCATTGCCAGCATTTCGCCCTTATCTGCTGCAGCTACCCACACCTGTTTTATCTAGCCAAGCTCGTAGCCCCTTTGTTTCCTTACATTCCATCTCATGGGACGAGAAGTCCCTCCACCTCTTCAACCCATCCCATTTAATTCTGTGTTTCTTCCCCAGATTAGTGCAGGGATGGAAGCTTGGATTTTAGGATTCTTAGGTCTTTGGAAATCACTGGTTCTGTGATTTTTCAGCATAAATTAGTCTAGGAATCATAACAATTTTACAAGATAGTAGGTTTTAATAGCACACCATGCATAGTAAACTGTGGACTTCTTGCCTTTTCAGCCAAAGATGTAACTTATATATGTCCCTTCACTGGTGCTGTACGAGGAACTCTGACTGTCACGAATTATAGGTTATATTTCAAGAGCATGGAACGGGTAAGACTTGGATTAGATTTTTGTGTGTACATGAGTGTGCTGTTTGCAGCTAGTTTTGTTAATTTCTGATCATTTCTAATTAAAGCATTTCTGATTCAGATTTTGATCAGCTGTATAATTGTACAGTATTAATTGCTCAGTGTTAATTATTTTTTCTTCCTTTCTTTAGGATCCTCCGTTTGTTTTAGATGCTTCTCTTGGTGTGATAAATAGAGTAGAAAAAATTGGTGGTGCTTCTAGTCGAGGTGAAAATTCTTATGGACTAGAAACTGTGTGTAAGGTAAATGTTATGTTTGTGATTTTCTTTGGTTTGAAAAGCTTTGTATTAAATAAAACCCATTTTGAAATTGCTTTCCAAAATATGAAATTGATTTCCAATTAGAAATTTTATTCTAGTATGACATTGACAGAAGAAAGCAAAATTTAGCAGTAACAGAAAAGGTGATTGATGAATTAGACTTAATTCTTTTGGGCCCAGTTCAGTCTACATATTTTGATATGTTCACAAATTTCATAACATTTTTAATAATGACCATCTTGGCTGGTTGCAGTGACTCATGCCTGTAGTCCTAGCACTTTTGGAGACTGGGGTGGGCAGATCACTTGAAGTCAAGAGTTTGAGACTAGTCTGGCCAACATGATGAAACCCCATCTCTACTAAAAAATATAAAAATTAGCCAGGCATGATGGCAGGCACTTGTAATCTCAGTTACTAGGGAGGCTGAGGCAGGAGAATTGCTTTAACCTGGGAGATGGAGGTTGTAGTGAGCCAAGATGGTGCCACTGCACTCCATCCTGGGCAACAGCAAGGCTCTGTGTTAAAAAATAATAATATTAATAATAATGACTATCTTTAATGCACATAGTACTCACAGGATACCAAATACTTCCACATTCGTTATTTCACTTTGAGCCTTATAAAAATCCTATGAGGTAGGCACAATAGACATTATTACTTTTAATTTACAAATTAGCAACATAAGGCTCTGAGAAATTCTGCTACTTTATAGTGGAAAACTAAATATGATATATTCATCATTACCTATCTTTTCTATTTCTAGTTCTCATAATTTTTCTACTTCTAAAACAATGGTGGGGAAAAATTGATACTGTAGAGTTTTCCTATGTTCTTATCTATTGGCATTCTTTAAATGCATTGATACTAGAATGAAATATAGATAGTTACATTTTTACCATTAAGTTATAGATATTTACCACTTCTCCAGGTCACTGTTATTAAGGCCTATTCTATATCACATTGTTCCTTTCTTTTGCTTTTCTGAGAGGGCTGAAAGAAACAGCATGTGTATATATAATTCAAGATACTTTCTTCTGCTAATCTTTGAAGTTTTGTGACTCTGGTATTAAAGCTAATGACTTAGTAATTATTTTTGTACTTTCCTCTTTCCTTTCCTTTTCCTTTCCTTTTTCTTTTTTCTCACTCTGTCGCCCAGGCTGAGTGCAGTGGTGTGATCTCAGCTAACTGCAACCTCTGCCTCCTGGGTTCAGGTGATTGTCCTACTTAACTCTTGAGTAGCTGGGATTACAGGCACATGATACCATGTCCAACTAATTTTTGTATTTTTGGTAGATATTGGGTTTCACCACGTTGGCCAGGCTGGTCTAGGACTCCTGGCCTCAAGTGATCTACCCACTTCAGCCTCCCAAAGTGCTGGGATTACAGGCATGAGCCACTGTGCCTGGCCTGTAGTTTTCCATTATAGTTAGAAGGGCTCTGTGAGTGTAATCACTGTCAACCATGGGTCAAGCACACTGTTTCTTGATTACTTTTCTATAGTCTAATAGTAAGTAGCACATAGAATGTAAGAGGAAGTAAAAAGATAATTTTGAATCTTAATTATTTTAAATACTTTTTTTTACAGGGAACAGGATCATTATCAATAAACACAAACATTTATAAGGCCCCTGACGTGGTCCTCTCAGAGAAATCTGTGCTCAACAGAATAATTCTGAGTATCTCCTAGTTATAAAGATATTTACTGAGGGAAAACAAGATATCAGGTTAAGTTCCTGCACATGCTTATTTTAAAAGATAGTAAAGCTAGCATTATAGTTTTGGATCAGATTTATAATATACTGTTTTACTTATGTATTGTGGGTACATCGTAGTGGAGTGGCTTTGTGTGCGGTTCTACAAAATGAGGCATAATAAAGCTATTTTGAATTCTGCCTAGGTTAAAACATTTAAATAAAATGAATGGTCTTAAAATTATTATTTTCTTATGAATTTATTTCTTAAATTTTTTGTAGAGACAAGCTCTTGCTGTATTGCCCAGGCTGGTCTTGAATTTGTAACGATTTAGGTTTCATTCAAGTTATCAGTGCATTTAAAGAATGCCAGTAGATAAGAACATAGGAAAAGTCTGCAATATCAGTTTTTTCCCACCACTGTTTTAGAGTCGAAACGCCTCAAACGTCACTGCTGCGTTGGCCACCCAAAGTGTCGAATCACAGGCATGAGCCACTATGTCTGACCCTTAAAATTATCTTAATCCCCAGTTTTTTTCTAAGTGCTATTAGGATACCAGTAAATCAGAACATAAATATTTGCATTCAGCCTGAGCATAGACAATTACTTAGGGACAAATGGAAGGGAACCTTGGTCTTTAGACCTGACTATAAAAGCCTGGATAATATAAAGCAAACTATGCAGAGTTTATGATTATCAGTAGATGGTGGAAGAATGTGGTTATGGAATAAAGGAAGGAAGACCTTTAGGCAGGGTTTAGTTCTGTTAATTCTAGTAGCAGGGCACTTAGGAAGAGAAGATACAATGCAAATGAACCCTGGGAAGGGATAGTAGGAAAATAATCACCAGATATAATGGAAATGAAGACCCATAAGAAATGTAACAACTACTAATCAGGTTTTATTAGTAAGGAAATTTATGACAGAAAATGGGCTTTCACAGGGAAAACATGCTGATAATGTCTATCAGTCAGGATATTAATCTTCAGATGTACTATTTTTAATCTCCAGTGCCTACATCAGATACTACCTTTTCACTAGCCTATTTTGAGTCCATAAACATAGGTAAATTTCCTGCCTTCTATATTCTTCTTTGTAGTAGAGTACCTTGTGTTTCTTTCCGTTATTCTCAATAAACCATTAGAATTCACCTGTATCCAGGAGCTGTTGTCTGTTTATTTTTGTATCCCATATTCATAGATCTTAACATTTTACAAGATAGTTCCAAGGAACCTTGTTTATTCATTTAAGTAGTTGGTGAACAAACAATTATTAACTTGGATTCTAAATCTTTTCTAGGATATTAGGAATTTACGATTTGCTCATAAACCTGAGGGGCGGACAAGAAGATCCATATTTGAGAATCTAATGAAATATGCATTTCCTGTCTCTAATAACCTGGTAAAATATTTCCTGCTTTTGGAAAATTCGTGCTATAATTGTTGATGTAGTATAAAGAAAGCTGTCTAGGCTATCTAGAATCTCCACATTTACATCCTTGCTTTTATAGTTAATCAGATGTATAGTGTGGGTGTAACCTAGTCTCCTGGATCAATTTCTTTAGGTGTGAAATAAGGAAGCTGGACTAGCTGATTTTCTGAGGTCCATTCCAGCATAACATTTTATAATTATATGATCTTGCTATTCAGGGTGTTTCCATGATGAAAAGCTATCTGTTATCTTCATTAGGATTTGAAATCTCCTTTAAAAAGGAGGGCCAGTTAAGACTTAATTGGGAGCCAGTTAAGACTAGCAATTTGGGAGGTAAGAGTAGGCAAACCCTGAGTTCCCATTATGTGCTATCAACAGTGTTAGACTCTCACATTTATGTCACTTCACTTCTATGTAGCCTATTATGATGGATATTATTTATCACTGTTTTAGCAATGAAAGAAGCATCAGATAAGCAGTTATCTCAAGGGCACAGTTAGTAGGAATACAATTAGGAATGATTGTTGGTCTTATGTTCAATTTTTTTTTTTTTTTTGGCATCATAGTTGTTTTTAAATGTAATGTCTTTCTTTATTTGAAAGTAAACCTACAAAAGCTACCAAAGATAATATGAAGGAAATATAATGACATGTTAGTATTTGATAAATTTGTTGGCAAGTGTCTGCGCTTTTTTGTATGCTTGAAAAATACGTTAAAAAATAAATTTTCGGCCGGGCGCGGTGGCTCAAGCCTGTAATCCCAGCACTTTGGGAGGCTGAGGCGGGTGGATCACGAGGTCAAGAGATCGAGACCATCCTGGCCAACATAGTGAAACCCTATCTCTACTAAAAATACAAAACTTTAGCTGGGCATGGTGGTGTGTGCCTGTAATCCCAGCTACTCAGGAGGCTGAGGCAGGAGAATTTTCTGAACCCAGGAGGCGGAGGTTGCAATGAGCCGAGATCACGCCATTGCACTCCAGCCTGGGTAACAAGAGGGAAACTCTGTCTCAAAAATAAAAATAAAAATAAAAATAAAAAAATAATTTTTCAAAATTATAAAACAAAAACTATAATACAAAAAAGGATGTTAATACAAACTATGCTTGCAGATAAATAAATGAAAACTTTGGATATATGGATACATTTCTGATTCATTACCTTTGTGAATATCTTTTTTAGCTCTTAACCTTTGTTTACTTTTTTGTAGCCTCTTTTTGCTTTTGAATATAAGGAAGTATTCCCTGAAAATGGGTGGAAGTTATATGACCCTCTTTTAGAGTATAGGAGGCAGGTATGTACTTTCTTTTCTTTCAGTTTTAGTATTCTGTATTTTTTTTCATTACAAAGAAACTGGGTGGAACCATGTATGAAAACCAGTATATCTCATACCACAGTAATTCACCACATCAAGAGATTAAAGCAGAATTCACTCTTGAAATCTGTGTTTTAGTGTATCATTCTTCCTATTCTTTCTTCAGTATACCACTTCTCAAAGAGTCTCTATACTGTATTACTTAAGCTCTGCCTAAAATAGTCTTTTATTTTTAACTTTCCTCCTGTCCAATGTGCTTAACTTTCCTCCTGTCCAATGTGCTTACTTGAGAATTTAAGACATATCAATTATTTCTTGTTCATCGTTAGATTTGTCATCTAGAGTATTTTAGAATTCAAATATGAAAATTCTTGAGCTTATACATTTATATTTAGGTTTCAAACATAGCATTTTAATTTGAACATTTCTAATTTATTGTGGTTTTGTTTCACAAAGGCAGGTAGAGTAAAGAACCACCACCAGAGAGCTAAGGACACCTAAATGACTTAAAGTGGAGTTTGTTACTACACTCGCATGTGGAAAGTGAAGTTGAAATTTCCTCATTCACTTATACCGTTAATCGGCAAAATAGGAAATAAAATACAAAACAAATGGGAATCAACTAAAAGCCATAGTTGATAAAAAGAGTATATAAGAAACATGTTAGATTTGTGGTAATTCAAAAATCTAATGTCAGAAGAAGATGACTAAGCAACCAAAAAGTCTAGCAGGCGTCTTCAGAAATTATAAAAATGAGGACTACTCTTTGGGAATCTGGGAAGAAATTGCTGTCCCAGGAGCGTTCAGTGTAGAACTTTGGAAAGCAGATGAGGTAACTGTCTAAAGAAAAGAAGTAAATTATTATTGAAAAGAAAAAATAACTGTAACTGAACAATACACCCATACAGAAAGAATTATGAGATTAGAAACTGTGGCAGTAAGAGTAGAGCATTTGCATTTCTCTAATGACCAGTGATAACGAGCATTTTTTCAGATGTTTGTTGGCCTCATGTAAAGTGTCTGTTCATATCCTTCACCCCCTTTTGAATGGACTTGTTTTTTTTTTTGTGAATCTGTTTTAGTTCTTTGTAAATTCTGGATATCAGCCCTTTGTCAGATGGGTAGACTGCAAAAATTTTATCCCATTCTGTTGGTTGCCGATTCACTCTAATGACTGTTTCTTTTGCCGTGCAGAAGCTGTGGAGTTTGATTAGGTCCCATTTGTCTATTTTGGCTTTTGTTGCCATTGCCTTTGGTGTTTTGGTCATGAAGTCCTTGCCTACGCCTACGTCCTGAATGGTTTTGCCTAGATTTTCTTCTAGGGTTTTTATGGTGTTGGGTCTTATGTTTAAGTCTTTCATCCATCTGGAGTTAATTTTAGTGTAAGGTGTATTGAGATACCGTCTCACGCCCATTCGAATGGTGATCATTAAAAAATCTAGAGACAACAGATGCTGGAGAGGATGTGGAGAAACAGGAATACTTTTACACTGTTGGTGGGAGTGTAAATTAGTTCAACCATTGTGGAAGACAGTATGGCAATTCCTTAAGGACCCAGAAATAGAAATTCCATTTGACCCAGCAATCCCATTACTGGGTATATATCCAAAGGATTATAAATCATTCTACTATAAGGACACATGCACATGAATGTTCACTGCAGCACTGTTTACAGTAGCAAAGACCTGGAACCAACCCAAATGCCCATCGATGATAGACTGGACAGGGAATATGTGGCACATATACACCATGGAATATTATGCAGCCAGCAAAAGCGATGAGTTCGTGTCCTTTGTAGGGACATGGATGGACCTGGAAACCATCATTCTCAGCAAACTGACACAAGAGCAGAAAAACACCACATGTTCTCACTCATGGGTGGGTGTTGAACAATGAGAGAACACATGGACACAGGGAGGGGAGCACTACACACTGGGGTCAGTTGGGGGGAAATAAGGGGTGGGGAATTGGGGAGAGATAGCATGGGGAGAAACACCAGATATAGGTGAAGGGGAGGAAAGCAGCAAATCACACTGCCATGTGTGTACCTATGCAACAATCTTGCATGTTCTTCACATGTACTCCCAAACCTAAAATGCAATAAAAAAAAAAAAAAGAAAAGTCTAGAGCCTTGCATTTGGTATTGGCAGTTTATTTGCAGACTAGAATCCAGCCATTCCAACTACCAGCCCAGTGCTCCTTCTAGGCCCTCTGCTCAGTTTCAGAGCACTCACCTTTCCAAGGGATTGCCTAGTGCAAGTTCTCCCTGGGGTGTTGTTTGTAGTAACTGGAACTGAGAGATGCTCAAGAAGAAAATGAAAAAACAAAAAGGAACTTTTTGCAAAGACCTGATAAATCTTAGAAACGTTTCATACTACAGCTCCTCCAGAGTATATCTGGTCCACATTTGCATATGAAGAGGGACGTAAATTCACTTGAAATTAAAAGTGCAGTTAACAAAAAAGACAAAAAAGAAATAGAGCATTGGCTTCTACATTAAATGGTATGGATGCTTTATGGTCTTTGACTTACTAGATGAATTTGTTGGCTTCTTTTTTTTGGCAGAGTGAGAAACTCTCTCTGAGTCAAATAAAAGGTCTAATGGAGAGGACACTGTATTTGTAGCTGGAAGTAATAGTTTTAAGATTTTTTTCTTGGATATATTTTAAGTTTATTACAGAAGAAAATGAAGATGATCTTTTAAAATTAAAGACTAATAAAGTATCAGAGTATTCAGTTTCCTCCTTTAAAATAAAGTATTCATTTTCTCCCTTGAAACAAAAAAGGAAGTGGTAATACTTGCATTCTGTACAAAATTCAAAAGGTCCTGCAGGGTGTAAGGACAACGTTGTGTCCCCCACAGCCATCCCAGTTCCCCTCCCTTTAGGAAATGATATTATTGGTTTCCTGAGTATTTTTTCAGAGGTTTCATGTTTACAAAGCTTGTGTATGTATGTGTGTATATTGTTTATTGTTTATTTTTTTAAATTTAAGACTGGCTCCAGTGAAGATTTGAACCAGCAACCTTGCAGTTGCAGGCCTTATACTTTAACTACTGTGGTAACAGGCCACTTTTATTTTTATTTTTTGCGATGGATTCTCACATTGTTGCCTGGACTGGAGTGCAATGGTGTGATCTACTCATTGCAATCTCTGCCTCCTGGGTTCACATGATTCTCCTGCCTGAGCCTCCTGAGTAGCTCGGATTACAGACACACACACCACACCTGGCTAAATTTTTGTATTTTTAGTAGAGATAGGTTTCACTATGTTGACCAGACTGGTCTTGAACTTCTGACCTCATAATCTGCCAGCTTTGGCCTCCCAAAGTGCTGGAATTACAGGCGTGAGCCACCATGCCTGGCCTAAGTGTATATTGTTTTTTTTTAAGCATATGGTAGCATGCCATGTACACTCTTCTGTGCCTATTTTCATTAATATACTTTGTTGATTGTACCATCTCTAAACATACACATCTTCCTATTTTTTAAAATTGAGATATAACTCACATACCATAAAATTTACTATTTTAAAGTATACAGTCTGCTTTTTAACATATTCATGAAATTTTGGAATTACTACTACATTTTAATTCTAGGACATTTAGAAGACTTGGTTTTAAATTTTAGCTTTAGTTCTTACTCTCACACTTAGATGTAGGCCCTTGAATGAGTTATTAATGTCACGATGCCTTTATTTTTTACTTGGTGATAGATACTACTTTATGGGATGGTTGAAGGATTAATAATATATAGAAAGATAGTTGGTAAACTGTAAAAATCTATCCAAATCATGATTATTATATTTGTTATATTGTAAGGCTCTGAAAACAGGTATCATGACTGGCTTTGTCATATGCTGCCACTAAAAAAATGAAAGCCACATTCATTCAATAGATCTATGTATAATAGTGCTGAAAAAATTAGACTGTATCTTTTCAAAAATAGGCAGAGGCTGGGCACAGTGGCTTACGCCTGTAATTTCAGCACTTTGGGAGGCCAAGGCCGGCAGATCGCTTGAGCCCAGAAGTTTGAGACCAGCCTGGGCAGCACAGTGAAACCTCATCTGTACAAAAAATAAAAATTAATCAGGTCTGGCGTGCACCTGTAGTCCCAGCTACTTGGGAGGCCGAGATCAAGGCTGTGGTGAGCCATGAACATGCTGCTGCACTCAAGCTTAGGCAATAGGTTGATACCATGTCTCAAAAAATAAGTAAATAAAATAAAAATGGTCAAAGCTATTAATAACCATTTAGGTGTGTCATATAGGAGAATGTTTATTTAATTTACTCTTGAAGGACATATACAGTATGTAGTGATTATAGAGAGGACTATGGAACTTGTGGATAGGATAAGGCCAAGAAAAATCAAGTCATAAGTCTGGGCACAGTAGCTCACACTAATCCTAGCACTTTTGGAGGCCAAGGTGGATCACTTGAGCCCAGGAGTTTAAGACAAGCTTGGGCAACATGATACAACCCCGTCTCTACCAAAAATACAAAAATTAGCCAGGTGTGGTGACACATGCCTACAGTCCCAGCTACCCAGGGGGCTGAGGCAGGAGGATCAATTGACCCTTGGAGGTCAAGGTTGCACAGTGAGCCATGAGTGCACCACTGCACTTCAGCCTGGGCGACAGAGTGAGACCTTATCTCAAAAAAAAAAAAAAAAATCAAGTCATGGGTAAAAAATCTGTATAAAGATAATGAGCAGCCCAGTACAGTGGTTCACAGCTGTAATCCCAGCACTTACTTTACTTTGATAAACCAAGGTAGGAAGATTGCTTGAGTTCAGGAGTTCAACACCAGCCTGGGCAACATGGTGAAACCCCATCTCTACAAAAATATACAAAAATTAGCCTGGCATGGTGGTGCATGCCTGAAGTCCTAGCTACTCTGGAGGCTGAGGTGGGAGGTTTTCTTGAGCCCGGGAGGTTGAGGCTGCAGTGAGCTGTGATCGCATAGCACTCCAGCCTGGGTCAAGAATGCAAAGACCCTATCTCAAGAAACGAACAAAAAAGATAATGAGCATGGTCTCCTGTAGAAATACCCAACAAAAGGTACATGCATTACTTAACAAACTTGGAAAACAGTCACTTCAGTCAAGGGAAACAGAATTTATCCTTAGAACTGTAAAGTAAGTAACTAAGAAAGCCATATCCTTTCAATTTTGTTGTATAATAAATTGAATCTGACAAGTGGTTTTTCTTGAATTTTCAGAGATCATAAAATTTAAAATAGATTTTCTTAGGTCATTTAATATAATAGCTTTATTTTCTATACAGTGAAGGATGGAAAATTTCAGTTGTTTTACTAAGTAATCCTGTATGTGATGTAGTATACCATTTATAAAATAGCAGATATTGAAGGACCACATGGGAGCTCAATAGAGTATGTTTTTAAAAAGTTGTTTTACGTATTTGTTACCTGTTGCCACTGTGCCTTCCATTACTCCCTTGCTTTTCTAATATATTTTAGATTAACAACATCCCATTAGTAATATAATGCCTGAGTGAAAAATGTACTTAAGGTATGTGATAGCTGTGTATGTACCACTCTGGTGGATACTTGGTGCCTGACCTCTGATACTTCTTTGTATAGATGAATGGCAACAAAGTCAGTCATCCAGTCTAACTGAATGAGACCTTGTTCTCTTTCAAGAATAGGAACATTTGCAGTCTTAACTGTTTCCTTCCTCCCCCTGAATGTGCTTAGCACAGGCCCACACTCAATTTAGTGAATTAATGTCTGTTATACTAACATCAAATTGAGTTCCACAAATGAATACATATCCCTACATTAGAATATCTAATCTTAAAAGCCTGGTACCACAGGCAGACAACAGCTATCCTAACACTTTAAGGGATGGACAGTAGAGGTCAGAGAGATTGAACAGGATGGCATCTGTCCTGGTGTCTTTTAATATTTTAGTTAGATAATTTGTCTTATGTTTCATTTCACATGTAGGGAATTCCAAATGAAAGCTGGAGAATAACAAAGATAAATGAACGATATGAACTTTGTGACACATACCCTGCCCTCCTGGTTGTGCCAGCAAATATTCCTGATGAAGAATTAAAGAGAGTAGCATCCTTCAGATCAAGAGGCCGTATCCCAGTAAGAAGTTTTGATGAGCCTTTGCAAGTGCTTTTTTACTCATTGCTGAGATTACTGAGTGGGAGAATGGATTCAAGATACAAATAGCTACAGCAGCAGGTCTTTCATGGGGATATTGGAGATTGATTTATTTAGTAAAAGTTAAAACTGGAGGAAAGACTTCAAAAGGTTTCTGGAGAGTGTGATATGGGTACTAGATAAATGCACAGAATTGCATGATTCTTTACTGAGAAAGTTTGCTTGCTGTATTAGTCCCTATTTCTTTATCTTCTTGTACATTCTTTAGTCATGGTGATAAATGTTCTTTTAAGTCCTAGAAATAAGCACACCTTACAAATTTATGATGAATAATGGGATTTTAGAAAGATGAGCTTAAATAATTTTAGGTACAAAATTCATATATTCTAAAGACTTTTAGAACTGAGCAGTTTGACTGTTAAGTGTTTAATTAGCCCTGTTTCAAAGTATGTTTTTCAGGAGATAACATTTCCCAATAACCAATGACTTTCTTAAATCAATATCTGACTAAAGAATTAGACCAAGTTTTCCACATGCCAGACTTGGATTGAAAGAAAGGTGATGATTTTTCCTAGCAGCCGCAGATAGCCTTTCATGGCCAGGCTTTGGATCCAGTTAGAAAACAGAGCGTTATCGAGTACTGTTTTTGAGGATTATAAACAGAGAAGTATGTTAAAGGTATGTTATTTTTTTTTCCACACTAAGGTTTTATCATGGATTCATCCTGAAAGTCAAGCCACAATCACTCGGTGTAGCCAGCCCATGGTTGGAGTGAGTGGAAAGCGAAGCAAAGAAGATGAAAAATACCTTCAAGCTATCATGGATTCTAATGCCCAGTCTCACAAAATCTTTATATTTGATGCTCGGCCAAGTGTTAATGCTGTTGCCAATAAGGTCAGATGGTCTTTTAGTAATTATGATTATAATCATGGTTTCATGGATCAGCTGAGTTTGGCAGGGCCGCAGTGTAGTAAAAAGAGCTCAGGCTCTGCAGTGGTAAAGATGCAGGTTCTAGTCTTGGCTCTGCAACTTGATGGTGTGAGTTTGAGTTAAATTATTTAACCTTTTTAGACCTCAATTTGCTTACTGGTAAAAATGAGAATAATAATAGTTAACAGTGTTTGGAAGCAAAAATCATTTAATAAAAAAAAGCATAACTCCATGCTTACTTACATAATAACTAGGTGTTCAGTTATTCTTAGTTTCCCACTTCTCCAAATTTGACAACTAAGTGAGCTTATGACTGACTGAAGTCCCTGTGTAGTACTGCTCTAGGAATAGTGAACTAGAGTTCTCAGTGACTAGTGGTGCCCTCTTCTGACCGCCCTCCACCTGAACAGGTTATTTAGACTGAAGAATTGGCAGTTAGCTGTAGTTGATTGTTCCAGTAGAATAAATATTAACATTGTGGAAATTGAAATTTTGGTTCAGCTGACAAAATCTATAGAAGGAAGGAAGGAGAGAGAAGACATAACAACGTAACTACAGCAGCAGGAACTATTACTGAAAAGTGCTCATCTTTTAAAATGTACATTTCAGTGCTTTTAGTATATTCACAAAGTCATACAACCATCACTGCTACCTGATTCTAGGGCATTTTCATTCTGTGTGTTTCTGTGATAGGTTCTGTATAGTTGTTACCACTGCTATCTTTCTAGAATGTTGCAACAAATTTGAATCGAAAGTCCGTCTTATTCCCACTCCTCAGAAGTAATCCTTGTTAACAGGTATCCATTGAAACACTTATTTCTATTATTGTGCCAAACGATTTCCCAGACTCTCAGTGTCAGAAGGGAAGCTAAACTTCTGTTCTTTTGGTAATCTGTTGCTGGTTATGAGCTGATAGGTTTTGTTGTTTTAAAAGATATGGGTCATATGATCACTTAATTATTATTTTTTGAGACAGAGTATTGCTCTGTCACCAGCTGGAATGCAGTGGCACAATCTTGGCTCACTGCAGCCTCTGTCTCCCGGGTTCAAGCGATTCCCTGCTTCAGCCTCCTAAGTAGCTGGGACTACAGGCACATGCTGCCACACCAGGCTAATTTTTTTTATTTTAGTAGAGATGGGGTTTCACCATGACCAGGATGGTCTCGATCTCCTGACCTCGTCATCTGCCCACCTCAGCCTCCCAAAGTGCTATGATTAACAGCGTGAGTCACCACGCCTAGCCGATCACTTAATTTTATATAATTACATTTGTTGCTCCAGTATTTTTCTATTTTGTTTCTATTAGGGTTCTAAGAAGTATGATCTTATACATGAGTTAGATTGGAGATAGAATATTTTATTCATGAAATTTTATAAAAAGATTAAGTCCAAAAAAGTGAGATGCTTCTTTCTAGCCCATAGCTTATTTTGAACACCAAATATTTCCTCATTTTATTCTGTAGATGTAGATTTAAGTCTTTGAGGACACTGATGATGATAGTATTCTGTGCTTTTATAATTCTTCCATCTTTTTATTTAAAAAGAATTATGTGGTTAAAAAAGAAGTAGGTCATTTTGATTGCAAATAATTTATTTCTCTGATACGAAGATTAAAATGAGGTGAAGAGGCAGGGAGGTGGAGAAGCATAGGTGGACCAGGCATGTGGTCCCAGCACATGAAACTTAACAGTCTGGTAATTTCAGTAAATATGAAGGTAAGTCTTCTGTAAGAAATTATGCTTGGGTAGGACTTGAAGTATAGGCAGGGAAAATTTAGTGCTTTACAATGTTTAAATACCTTCTTATGTATTTCACATTTAATTTTAATAATGGCCACATGAGGAAGTCAGAGTTAAGTGTATATTCATTTTGCAAAGAAGAAGATGAGGTAGGAGTGGCTGTGCTAAATAAGTTGTCCTGAACTACCACAGTTTCCTGTGGAGTTTTCCTGGTTTCCAGTAATATGTATTATCTTTTATGCTATTGGAAATTTTGTCACTTGTTTACAAGTGCATTCATTTATTTTCCATGATGTGTGCTTTTTTCTAGGCAAAGGGTGGAGGTTATGAAAGTGAAGATGCCTATCAAAATGCTGAACTAGTTTTTCTGGATATCCACAATATTCACGTCATGAGAGAATCATTACGAAAGCTTAAGGAGATTGTGTACCCCAACATTGAGGAAACTCACTGGTTGTCTAACTTGGAATCTACTCATTGGCTAGAACATATTAAGGTATGTGTGTGTTACTATATCCCAAACAAAGACTTTCTCTACCCCTTTGTTTATATTAGCTTTTTACTTATAATTGAAATGAACATGAAGATACCTTTCTCAACAATGAAAAATGGGTAAATGCTTTGATAATTGGAACTACTACTGAATTTTGATGTTTGAATGAATTAGTTTTTTATATTGTGCATTTGGTTCTGTTGTACTTCTTTTGTTTCCTTTTTCCCATCCTATCTGAATTCTAACCATCCTTCAGATTCTACTTCATATTTTATTTCTTCTATAAAGTCTTCCTTTTCCATTTTCTCTGAACTCTTTACTCTGTCTTTCCATCTAATCAGGTACTAACCGGTACTTTGTTGCCTTTTGTGTGTCCACCAGTGTACTTTATGGAGACCAAGACTGGATAAATCCTATATGTATTTTTTGTCCCGAGAGGGGTGAGGGTACTATGTGAATCAGTACCCAATAAATACTAGTTGCATGATTTGTGAAGTTGAAACCATTCTGATCAGGGAAATGAGGTAGAGTAGTTGCATGAGCCACACTGAGTGCTAAATCTTGTGGAGAGCATGTTAGTGCTAATTTACCTAACCTGCTCATTTAATGTTTGAAGCACCAAACTGTTATTTCTGTTAACATAGTTATGATATTTTCAGATATGGTCTGTCAGTAATGTAACTCACCAAATATATATACTTATGTAACCACATGTATAAGTATTATGAGTTAATGGGAAATACAATCTTTCATGTTAAGAAGGAGGATATTTCTACTCACATTAAAATATCCAAAGTTCAGACAGAATTGAAGAGAATACCAAACTGAACTAATAAGAATTTTAATTAGATGATTTTGACTACTGATTCTGTTTGAGGAGCTTAGAAGCTTGAAAATCACAAAGTATAAACACTAGTTAATGGCTCATTTATTAAATTAATAAATGTTCATGTGGCCCATTTATTAAATTATGTGATATGTAAATATACAGCCTCAGGCTTGATTTGGAACTAACATAAATGGTCATGTTTGATTCTGAAAACTCCAAATATTTAATTTGCAGGTACAACATGCTCTCTAAAAGGTTGGCTATAACAGAATCAAATTTCCCTAGACGTATAAGACATATAGTTTGGCAAAACTACTTTCTTCTTCTCCAGTCTTTACCATACCAAGAAAGTTTATTCACTCATTCTGTTCTAGTCTCTGCTCAAATTACCTTTGTGAGAGAGGCCTTTCTCAGCTGCTTTTTTTTACAAAATGACAGTTCTACCAGCACTCCCTGTAACTTCTATGGAAAGTTTTCACTTATTGCCATCTGATATACTGTATATTTCCTTGTTTGTGACTGGTGGGCCTCACCCAAATAGAATGTAAACTTGATTAAGCAAGTACTTTGTTCACTGCTATATGGCCCATACCTAGAGCAGTGTCTCTCTAGTAAGGGACTTCTAGTAAGGGACTTCATAAATGTTTAATAAATGAATGAATGATTTCTAATCAGGAAAACTCTTCGTGATCAGTCTTAACTAAGCTGATTCTTAACTCTGTATATGTACTTGAATTATAGGTGGAATTTATTTAAAATACTGAATTTAGGATCACTGGAGAATGTGGTCTAGGTACTTCATGCTTACATGACTCTGATACATGTCAAGATCATCATATCACCCCATTTCCAGGATATGCTTATAACTATGATCAAGGAGAGATTGTCATATTTCCATATTTAATCTGTTTTCTTTCAATCTCATCCATGTATGTAGAACTATACTATTTTTTAAGTATTATATGATATGGCTATTGCAGAGAATAGGGGCTGTATTGTCTTTTTTTTTTTTTTTTTTTTAAGATACCATACTTTTGTGTGTGTGTATGTGTTTTGGTTATATCTCATTCTGTTTAGTTTTAACTCAAAATGGATTTCAGAAAAGGTAAGTTATTTTGCAAAGGATTTCTGCATATTTAAAAAACAAGAGCTGAAGTTATTTCAAATAACAGGTTGGCATTAATCTGTGAATTTTCATGCATAGCGTTACAGAAAAGTAGCTCACTCTAAAGTATATACTGTACATAAAAATCTTCAGTCAAAACAATAAATGCTACTGAATGTTTTAAAAGAGATCCAGTATTATTGCTTTCAGATACTTATCCCAATTTGGTTAGGTAAGCATTGTTTTAAATCATAAAAAGGCTTCGGTTGCCATATCATTTATTTTTATTTAAATAGATTATGGAATATTTGATGATTCTTAGATCTCTTTAGAACCTTACTCTTCTAAGAAGAATCTTACACCATCATTTATTTAGCACCCAAAGGTACTTTTCATTTGGCTATTTCATTGGGCAAATTAGTAAGAGTCAACAATGAGGAGGTTTTTTTAGTTTTAAAAGCAAAATTTATATATCTTCTACCATTTAAAAAAATTCTTAGGAAGCGACAAATGTTTTTCATGTTATTGAAATAGTAATCCCTCATAAAACTGTATTATTAAATTTTGAAGAAGGAAGCATTTAACTTTAAAAACCAATTTATTAAAAAATCTGTTTTCCAGCTTATTCTTGCAGGGGCTCTTAGGATTGCTGACAAAGTAGAGTCAGGGAAGACGTCTGTGGTAGTGCACTGCAGTGACGGCTGGGATCGCACAGCTCAGCTCACTGCCCTTGCCATGCTCATGTTGGATGGATACTATCGAACCATCCGAGGATTTGAAGTCCTTGTGGAAAAAGAATGGCTAAGTTTTGGACATCGATTTCAACTAGTAAGTGAAGAACCTTGACTTCTGATGTATTACATGCATCTCATGCCAAGGCATGTGAAAATAATGCATTTTTAAAAATGAGATCTTCATCTAAAGTTGATCATTTATCTAGCAGGGTAAACATTTTTTGCTTGTTTTGGAAAGCATTAGGATATCCTAACATGACTAGTCTGGAGCCAGAGCTGGCTATTTATCAGGCGTCTGACCAGGTCTTTCCTGTGATCTCTACTGGGAAACGTCAGTGATGACCATGGGTGTTTCTGGCCAGGTATTTTCCTAAATAATTGAAAGACTTAGAAGGTATTTACCCAGATGCTGTCTGTAATGGTAACCTTTAATATACAGTAGTTACCAGAGTATACTAGCAGTGTTTATACAGTTGTCCCTTGGTATATGTGGGGGATTGGTTCCCAGACCCCATGAACAGGCCAAAATTCACACATAGTCAAGTTTTGAGGTTGGCTCTGAGGGACCATGTAAAGTCAGCCCTCTGTGTATGTGGGTTCTGCATCCTACATGTGGCTGAAACAAATCTGCATATAAGTGGACCTGTGCAGTTCAAACCATGTTGTTCAAGGGTCAGCTTTAACTTGAAAGGAACAGACATTTAAAGTTAGTCTGCTCTTTTCAACTTGAACAGTAAAATTGGGCATCTGGGATGTTTATTCAGATGGCTCATATTTTGCAGTTCTCTACAAAATGTACTTATCATGAAAAGGCCTTTTAAAACAAACTCTTACTTCAGAGAATAAAGTTCTAAATCACAATTGTTAATATCACCATTGATTTTGTCAGAAAAGCCTTCAAGTATTTTTAAGCTCATTGTGGTGGCCAAACGTTTTCTAAACGTTGAGTTTTCATTCAAAAGCTTGAATTTTTTCATTGACAACAAATACTGTCAGTTGTTTTCAAGTGATAATTCACATTGTACATTTAAAAAAAAAAGTCTAACTCTTACTAACCACAGTGCATGCATGTATTGTCTTTCAAATAAAAATGATGAAAAAGTGCCGTCTTCTACCACACTACATGCAGCAGAAGTGAGTTATATATATTTCCTGTTTCGTCACACAGGCAATTTAAAAAAGTGTACTCAAGGGATGAGATTTAATAAAACTAGTAATTTTTATTGCCTTGTTAAATATACTGGCAAAAGATAAATTGACTTTTTTCCTTTCTTTTATTTAACTGTGAGGATCTGGTAGGGTAGAATACAGTGGCTACAAGTGCAGGGTTTTTCTTTTTTCTGAGACGGGAGTCTCATTCTGTTGCCCAGGCTGGAGTGCAGTGGCATGATCTTGGTTCAGTACAAGCTCCACCTCCCAGGTTCAAGCGATTCTCCTGCCTCAGTCTCCCGAGTAGCTGGGACTACCTGTGTGTGCCACCACACCTGGCTAATTTTTTGTATTTTTAGTAGAGAGGGAGTTTCACTGTGTTAGCTAGGATGGTCTTGAACTCCTGACCTTGTGATCCAGCCACCTTGGCCTCCCAAAGTGTGGATTAGAGGCGTGAGCCACCGCACCTGGCTGACTACAGTTTTAATAATAAGCATTGCCTTGCTTGATGCCTGGTAAGGCACCAGAATTTTTAAATTTCATAATTTCTGCATCATTCGTGCAAATGCCAACACACTGAAAAAGGTAAATAATGTCTTATTATTAGGAAAATAGTTTTGACCTCACAGCCCTTGAATGTTTGTGGACCACACTTAGAATTCCTGCTTTGGGGTAAGAAGCAGGATTCTGTTTCAGTTATCTGAGTGAAAGGTCATCAGAGGAAATAACTGATAAACTAGGTAGATGACTGCCTGCTTGGAGGGTTGATGTCAAGCATTTTTAACAGGTTTTCTAAGATGTGTGCTAATATGGTTCCTCCTGATGAAGACACATTAGTGCTAAGACAGGATGGGGTACCTTTCACTAAGTGGTCAAGGTATTAACAGAGAATGGTGCCGAGTCCAGTGTCCATGGAACTGTTATTTATTGGAGAGACATTAAAATCTCCAGGACAAAAACCTGACCTTTGAGTTCTGACTGCTTCTGTCTTTCATTATCAACCTTTTAGGATCAGGGTTTCATTTATTAAACAGTACTAATTTGTATTACAAGCACTCATGCAAAGAATATCTGAGCAGTATGCATGCCAAATGTTAATAACAGATTTCTGCTTGGCAGGATAACAGGTGATTTCTACTTCCTTTTCAATGCTCTTTAAAAGACTTTCTGAAAATTTTTATGTGTATTAGACAGGGCCTCACTTTGTCACCTAGGCTGGAGTGCACAATACGTAGCCTTGTACTTTTGGGCTCAAGCCAGCCTCCCACCATAGCCTTCTGAATAGCTAGGACTACAGATGCACACCACCATGCCTGGCTTTTAAAAATTTTTTGAAGAGATGGGATCTTGCTATATTGCCCAGACCCACCTCGATTTCTTGGCTTGGCTTCAAGTGATCCTTCCACCACAGCCTCTCAAAGTGTTGGGATTACAGGTGTGAACCACAGCACCCTACTTTGCAAATTTTTAGAATACTGACCAACTGTAATTTTTTAAAAAAATTATTTCCATCAAAATATGAAAAATCCCCCTAAGTTCACATATTTCACCTTTTTGCTTCAGAGAGTTGGCCATGGAGATAAGAACCATGCGGATGCAGACAGATCGCCAGTTTTTCTTCAATTTATTGACTGTGTCTGGCAGATGACAAGACAGGTAACTTATCTGGGCTTTCTATTCTTACACATCTCCTTTCAATTTTCCTGTCAGAGTTGGGAGATTTGGTCACTGATTATCCTATAGATCATTAAATGGAAATTCTTGTACAGTCTTCATGTCCATGTGAGAGCTATTATTTATTGTCATGTTATGAGTCAGGTTAAAGGTTGTTATTTGGGGGTATTATTAAACACTTGACAATTTGAATTCTATTAGCATTCAATGAGTAGCATTGATAATAACTCCTGAGAAGTTTGCTAGAAGCCATTTTTGTATTGCTGAGAGTGGAGAAAAATAAGCTAGAGAACATAAACAAAACAAAATCTTCTAAGTAACTTTAACTGTTATTTTGTTTCATCTCAATCTGTTCCTTCTGAAAATTTTTAAGGGAAAAATATATAGAAAGTATAGCAAGGTAGGCACATACTACATTTAGTTCTTAAAAATTTTTTTAGCATGGAGAGAATTATGACTTTTAGAACTTCTAAAAATTAACTTGAAATATTAATATAAATGAATTTAATATTTTGGAAAGAAAGGGGACAGAAAACACCTCGTTTATCATGGGATCACTTTATTAACGAGGCAAAGGGTCACTGACTTAAAAATATGATTTAATACTAGCTCGAGAAAAATGATCTCAAAACCCAGTTGAATGCAGCTTATTAGGAAGTAAGTTCATTATTTATCCAAGAGTTTATTAGACCCCAAAACAACTGGAAGTCTGAATTGTTTTTATTTCGATTGCCACATGAATTTAAAGTAGAGCAAGTGCTGGCTCTGCTTGGCTTTGGATCATATTAGGAGGCTATTTTTTTAGCTTCAATAAAATGCTATTTATTTAAATAAAAGAAAATTAATGGTTATCATCAGGGGAAATAATTCTATACTTAATAGTCCCCTGCCTCCATAAGCATTTCTACTTGGGTGAATTATTTAGAAACATGTTGGGTTAAATGAAGCATTTCGTAGATATGACTACAATATGAGACTAGTATTTCTGCATGTATACTGAACAGGTGTGTACAATTCAGTTTTGTTTTATAAATCAGACCTTTGGTGTGTTGTGCGGTAGGAGGAAGGAAAGGTGCTATATACTTAGTTTAACAATGTTTAATACTTTCATGTATTATGTTTGACTTTTTCCTTTGGAATTGCCTTTGAGAGAGTATTTCAACTACGTGAGTCTCTCCCAATCCTTTTTTGAATGTATGACCCAAAACCCTAGGACCCCACTTTTGACTATTACCATATTCAGTTTTAAATAACCTTTGACTATTGGCAAAAATTAAATTCGCCATCAAAGGAGTAGGAAAGCTCTTTGAAACCTGGTATTTTGCTGATGGTTGTGTGTACTGCTTTCCAAGGTGAGTACCTTGAAGGCAATCATGTGCTTGAATATATTAGTTCTGATATGTTAGGAAAAAAAACACATTTACCAAAAAAACCCACATTTACCAGTTACCAGTTTACTCTTGCAAAGAAGAGTACATGGTAATCTACAGCCAACCACCCTGCATTTGTCCATCTCATCTGATTTTGGAAGCAAAGCAAGGTTGGGTCTTGTTAGCACTTGGATGGGAGAATACATCCTAATACGTTTCTTCTTAGTAATTTTAATTTTGTTAACTTTTTATATGCTCTATATCTAAAAGCAGCCTTAACTCGAATTTTGAGCCCGGCACTAAATCAAAGAAAATCAGTTTAAATCTGTATTTTTGATAGAACCTAAAATACTTTATAGCCATCTGTATTTTATACACCTGATGTTTTTCTGTATATTTTCTTCCCAAACATCAAGCATATTAACTAGTCATAATGTGTGTTAGTAATCATCAGTTTTATAAATACTGGAATGCTAGTACAGAGACTTGAATAGCACATTTGTCAAAACAGAACCAATTATGTTATGATAGCCAGATTCCATACCTCTTTCCTATTTGCATCCTCATCTGTCACCTCAGTCCTGAAATCAGGAAGCAGTTGTTGAAGGGCCTTTTAGATTTTAAGCATGTAAACAAAATAGTTCTCTTCTGCTTATAATTTTAAAAGCAATAGCTGCAGTTAATGCCCTGCTATTTTAGTTTCTTTGTGAGGAAATGCCTACTGATTAAGCTGTCTTCTCATAACTGAGCTAATAGTTTTGCCAAGAAGATGGAAAAATTAATCGCAGGCTTAGATCCTTGAGATTGCTATTTAATGATTCAGGATGCATTCATATTTGGCTAATAATAAGGCTGTTAAAAGAGTGTGAACAAATACAGGAGATGGGACTTATTTTTTTAAAGGAATAAATGGGATTCGACAAAGTTTCTTACAATTGGCTTTTTGTTGTGGCAATGCTTGATCATCTGTTTCATTCAGCTTCACAGCCACAAAAATTGTTCAAGACATAGTTAAATGCCCTTTCTTGTTTAAGAAATCTGTCATGTTACCCTGTGTATACTTGCTAAATTTTAGGAAACTTCAAGGCAAAGTTGTTTTCATCCTTATTCCATTTCCATGCTGTTTATACTATTTTCCTCCACTATAAAGGAAGGGAGCTAAGAAATAAAAATTTGGAAGCAATGTATTTTCACAGTCTGCAATTCAAGTATTTATAGAATTTATCACACAGAGCCCTATAATTGGTAGAATCTTACATGGAAGCTTCCAAATAATTCTGAAATATTAGATAAGGTGGATTAAACTAAACCTTCTAATTTTTGGGGGTTTGTAATTTTTCATTTGATTAGTCCCCTAAAATTGTGTTACTTGTGTAAAATTAACATCCAGTCAAGTTCCTGACTTGGGTTAGAGAGTGAATTTTCTTTTTGTTAGATGCAGCCAAAATAGTAGCTTACAAGGAACTCTGTTTTGATGGGATGGATGGTCCTTGAAAAGTTTAGGTCGGTGCAAAAGTAATTGCCCTTTCAGTGGCAAAAGCTGCAATTACTTTTGCACCAACCTAAATATGTAATAGGCTGGTTGACTTGTAAATTATGTGTCTTACTTAAATGTTTACTTTAGGGTATTGCTGACATTTTCTGGAGAACATTATTGGCATTTTTTTTTTTTTGTAATCCTTAAGAAATCAACTATGGTGTTGAAAATTTAGAGTCTTGATGTTTGTGGTCATTTTTGGCAGAGAATGCCTACAATTGCCTAAGTCAAAATTCAGCCTGCAAGTATAAGGTTAGCAGATACAGCATATACAGAAACATCATGGTCAGAAAAGTGATAAAGCAGTTTTTGAAAAGAAAACCATACAGATAATGCCATAATGGTTTGGGATAATGTAAATTTGAATGTTTAACTTAAAGAATCTACCCATGAGAGGAATGAATATGCCTAAAGAATGTCTTAATTTACATTTGTGATGTTCAATTTGCAGTTTCCTACCGCATTTGAATTCAATGAGTATTTTCTCATTACTATTTTGGATCACCTATACAGCTGCTTATTCGGAACATTCCTCTGTAATAGTGAACAACAGAGAGGAAAAGAGGTAAAATATGAACTGTCTGCTATGAGTTCATGGGTGGGAAGTAGTTTCTGCTAAAGAGAACTGAAGAATGTGAAATCTAAGGAGCACCAGTGTACCAATTTTTCTGTGTAGAATGGAAATCCTTCAAAGCAGGTGCAGAAAAAGTTAGCAGAAAATGTACATTTGAGTGAATAGGCGTTCAAATTTCCAAGTATATTCTAATCTTATAAATGAGACATTTTAGGTTAAGTTTTGTCTCTGGATTTGCCTCTGGACATTTCATATAAATGGAATCATTTAATATGTAAACCTTGTGTAAACATTTAATGTGTAAACCTTGCTCCTTTAATATATCCAAGGTTCATACATTCTATAGCATGTATTGGTTTTTTTTTTATGGCTGAATAATATTCCATTGTGTAGATATATTCTACTTATCCATTCATCAGTTGGACTGACTTTGGGTTGCTCTCACTTGTTGGCTATTAAGACTGGTGCTGCTTTGAACATCTGTAACAAAGTTTTTGTATAGACATATGTCTTCAGTTTTGTTGGATATGTAGAGGAGTGGAATTGCTGGGTCGTATGTTATGTCTCTGAGGAACTGGAGACTGTTTATATAAGTTCGTTTACCACTGAAGTCTGTTCCTCTAAAGAGATTTTAATGACTACAAAATATTTCTTTACAAAGTTCATTTAAAGTGTAAATGGCTTATGTGGTGGAGAATCTTTACCTATTTTTCCTGCCTACAGAATCTTCCTAAAAGGACTGTGTCGCTGTGGTCTTACATAAATAGCCAGCTGGAAGACTTCACTAATCCTCTCTATGGGAGCTATTCCAATCATGTCCTTTATCCAGTAGCCAGCATGCGCCACCTAGAGCTCTGGGTGGGTTATTACATAAGGTGGAATCCACGGATGAAACCACAGGTGTGTACTGTACAACATACAATGCGAGTTTTCATCCACGCAATGCAACTTTGTTTTGTTAAAAGCAGCTACAAAGATTATAAAAGTTTACCCACTAGTAGGTACAATGGTATAGTAGAAAATGTACTATACTGGGGCAGGATAATCAGTATACCTGGTTCTTAGGACTGCTTGTATGACACTGGACAAATCACCTATCTGTTTGTTTGCATCTTCCCTCCTCTGTCTGGATAACCTCTAGGGGACTTGTTTTAATAAGCTGAAGAAAGTAGCTTTAGTAAATTAAAAGCTGAACATAATTCTGGTGTACTCTGAATATATTATGGAATATTAACTACCTAGAACTGTTCAAGGCTAAAAACCTACAACTAATTGATAGGGAATCTTCTGACTACTATTTTTTAATTGTCTTAAATATTTGTTTTATTTGGTAAAGTACCAGTTTCAAGAGCATCTACACAGTAGGTATTCTCTTAGAAGTACTCAGGGGCACTGGGAAAGCAAGTGAAAAGAGTAGTGGTGTCTGAAGTCTCTGTATTTAACTTCACTGATGGATTGGAAAGGCATCACTGGTTCCAACAGCTGAAAAAGCATACACTGCAACATTTAGGGAATGATCTGACCTTGGCTTTGGGCAGGATTGCCTAGTTGAATGATTCTATGTTTTGCTCTTACAGGAACCTATTCACAACAGATATAAAGAACTTCTTGCTAAACGAGCAGAGCTTCAGAAAAAAGTAGAGGAACTACAGAGAGAGATTTCTAACCGATCAACCTCATCATCAGAGAGAGCCAGCTCTCCTGCACAGTGTGTCACTCCAGTCCAAACTGTTGTATAAAGGATTGTATAATGAGGGGCATCATTGCTACACACTCTTGTTTACAGTGGCAGCTCTGAGTAGAAAGTCTTCCAAATTTAGAACCCATCTATGAGAGAAAGTTCAGTCACTTTATTTATTTTAAATCTCTCTAGGATGAGTTTAGAACTCTAACAGTGCAGGTGGCTTAAGTGAAATAACTCCATATGTAATTACATGATTATGACACTAATCTTTTAAGTATCCAGAGAATATTAAAATACTTCAATCCTGGATCCACAGTGGGAACAAGTTTCTATTATTAAAAGGAAAATACTGTTATAAATCTTACCATCTGGTAATATTAAATAAAACCATTTTAGAAATACACTCTGGTCACTATGCGGAGGAACAGTTTTCAAACCAACACTGAAATTCTGTGGCATCATATATATTGGGCCTTGATACCATGACAGATCAAAATCATTTGATATCACTTTCTCCATTCTACGTTTTCCTTTTTTTTTGCAGTAATTGATTTACCTTGACCAATTTTTTTTTTAACTTCCATATTCTTCATATAATAAAAGGCAGAGTGTTGAAGATATTATGGCATAGTCGTAACTGGAAAATTACTGCTGTCATTATTTACATACTTAAGGTGTATTAGAAAGTTGATACAAAATGGGAGGCCTTGTAGATATACTTGGGGGAAGATAAAGGGGAGAAAGTAGCCATACAGGAGTTCAGAGAATTCCACGCCCATGCCCTTCATACTAGCCCAGTTACCAGAAACATCATGGAAGGTAAACTAATGATTTACTCTACTTCATTTCACTTGTTCTGTGTGTCTAAACACACACAGAAGCAAACTGGCAAGTTTTTAAAAAGTATTTAAAAATCTTACTAGGACTGACATTTTTTTTTTCTCAAGTCTGTATAAACAGCTTATGGTGAGAAGTACTATGCTCAAATTTTATATTACATTTTTTTTCCTTTGCAAATTCTGTAATTCCACTGAATGATTAAGTCTACCAAAGAACATACTGCATGTAAAAGATGTATTACAATCTCAAAGCCAGTAAAAGAAATCTTGCCTCACTGTTCACCTGCTATAAGTAAGAGTTCAGTGCTGGTAGAAACATTTGACTCTGATGTCTGTTTTACTCTATGTAAGAGCCATATGTAATGTACTGTAACAAAGGAGCTTCTTGTCCCTTGGTCTTTTAATTAAAAGAAATTCCAACTGACTTTTAAATTTTGTTCTTGTCCAAAGTTGCCTTAATTTTTTTCCTCCAGAAATATCTGGAAATTACTGGAGGAATATGTAACCCCCAATCAAAATGTTCAATTTGTACTCATTTTTCCTTAACCAATATCCACTCAAACAATTAAAATATACAGCGTTTTTTCACTCACCGATTCACTATACAGGGAGTCCGAACCTTAGCCTCCATCTTGGTCTTGCAATGAGGAACTAGTTTCTATCCAATTTAGCAAAATTGGTACCAGAATGATTTATTTGGCAATTGTGTGAAATAGAAGCTGTTTAACAAGGCATTTATGGGTTAGCAAATCAGTATTAAAATTACGTTTTCCACTCCAAACATTTCACAAACACATCTGCCATTTTCCTCATTAAACCCTTATTATCTTAGTCTGACACCACATAAAGAATGTAAAAGGGCTGAAGAGATCAAGAATTTAAATCTTGTAGTCTTAATATACTTGCATCCACTTCAAATTCCTATCAAAAGCCAGGGAAATCTAAGTACAACCATATCACTTCTCTGTTGAGAACCTTCCAGTGGTTGCCCTCACCTTTTGCAGAAGTCCCCAGTACGGAGTACATGCACTTGAGCCTTTAAGACATACCACTGGTATGTGTGGAAGGGGGAATACTAGCACTTTTACATATTTACACAAACAAAACTTTAAATATTTGAATTGACAGTTACGTGTTTCATAACTTTATGTGTCTATTGGTTGTGCTGGTCTAATTTTTTCCCTTTATTCTTAGGGTTACAAAATCCAGAGACCAGTATGATTAAATTGAAGCTCCTTAGCCTCCTTCGACCTAGTCTCTGCATAACTCAACTTTTATGTACCAATGCTATTCTGCTGTTCACAATTGCCTCATGTAATCTGCAGATTTCTACTTCCCCACTTTTGTTCAATCTATCTTGTGCACCTGGAACAACTGTTCTCCCTTGAGACTACTGTCTATTTTCTAGAGTTTAGGCATTTCTTCCTCTGAGAAGTTACCTGATTCATGAATGCCTTCTCTGACATCCCCACCTTCCTCTGTGCCCCCACAGCATTGTGTATATGGCTACTACCACTGCAGTTCACCACACTGTATTGGAATGAATAATTCACATGTCAACCCCAAGTCTGTAAACATACTTTTCTTATTTGAAATGAACTGCAATAAAGCTCCGTTACAACCTAAGTGGATGGATGACATTCCTCTACTGTAAACTTGCAGAGAAGAAAACTGAAACAGTATTTTGTTTTCACTTCTCACCTGAGAGTACAAAAAACTGGAGTAGTTACATCAGTTTGAATCCTAGTTGAGAAACAGGGTGGGCTTTAGCATCATTCAGTCACCCTTCTAATAAGGACTCAGAGCCACTACAATTCAAATGACGGTTATACAGTTTAGTGACCTGAAATTCAAACAAGGAGAGAACAGCAGTTTTTAATAGTTGAAATGGTGGTTAACAAATATATTTATCATGTCACCAGAGCACTGCTTCTCACTTTCCTTGTGGCTATGGGGTCATGAAGTTACAAACCTACTCATTAGAAAACTGGAAAAACAAACCCAAGTTTACTATTTCAGGAGAGTCACAAATAAGACCCCAAAATCTATTTAAGGATCCTAAATTAAAACCTGTTACCATAGAAAAGCTTGACATGCCTGGTGCCCAGGAAGCCATGACAATTCATGCTGGATGTCTGAATATAATCTAAGAATTTTAACTCAATTACAGGGGAGGCATATGAAAGGAATTCCTCTAATATGTGGCTAACATGTTCATTCGCACTCTTGGATTACCTTGTATCATGAAGAAATCTATATTCTTCGGCTCTGTTTCTATGTAAGCATGAGAATGGCAACTAAGTACTAGGTTTTTCTCGTCATCAATACACTGATGTCCTATTTAGAAATGCATTTTTTCAGAGCTTATCACAAAGCCCTTATTAACAGGCTGTTAAGGAAAGTTTCAGTGCTTCCTTAAAAAAGGTGCTTTATTGACTTCAAATTTATAAAAGGTTAACATCTTGATCTAGTTGAAATTATATGAATAGCATAACAATTATGTGCACAGTTCATACTCCACTCATACTGTACACCTGTAAAAGCAAATAATTCAGAGAGTTCTGTGAGTTTTGAGATTAAAAACCACTATGCCTTGAGTGAATATCATGATTACAGAACAGGTATTATTTAGGAACTGTGAAGGTGTATGCTTACAGCATACCCCTTTCTCTCTCCCACTCACTTTATTCCAAAATCTCAATTATTTTGCTGATAATTTGTTCATACTTTCAAAAACTCTTTTATGATTTTTACAGATGTAACTTAAAATTGCTTGTTTTTAAAAAATTAACAATACATTAAAAAGCAAGTCCACTTAATATGGATAAAAGTCAAACGCCAAAAAGCAAAATTAAAATCTTGTTAAATAAAAATTTTAAATATAGTAAAACTCCACCAATAATAGAAACAAAAAGTATGTTTAATGGTTGCTTTGGAAAGGGGAATTGGGCACTTCATGCCACGGAAAGGTTTAAAAGTGAGACTTTTCAAGCCCTGCCTATGGCATAGTCTCATATTTTGAAAATTTAATTTTAATTATAAAGAACTATTTTTTAAAAATCACACCCACAAGTAAAAAACTGATAATCTGTTTACAAAGTGCAATATACCAGTACAGCAAATTCATCTCAACAAAACAAGATAATGTGTGGTTTCTCAGGCTTTCTTAACTCCCCTGGTTTCTGCTTAAATGCGTTAACACTGAGTCATGCTGCATACACAAAAAGCCTGTGTAATGAAGTCTGGGTCCCTTAAACACCTGCTATAAATTAATTCCAACATAAGTTAGTATAAGACCTGGGAAGTAAATTGTTAACATCTGATTGATGAGGTACGGATTATCTGAATAAAATTTATGACCTGGTTATAAGTCAGTAATCCCAAGACAAACTACTGCTTTGTAATGAATTCTGTATGGTTTGCATGTCCTTCAATAACTGAAGGTTTTTTCTGCGTTTTTCTCCAGGTCTCAGTTTGGTAAAATCTTTCTTATTTGTGGTTCCTGTGATTCCAGAAGAACGGCTGTTGCTGTTTCCTTCTTCATCAAGAGTCTTTTTGGTAGCTTTTAACTCCTTCTTCTGCTTCTCTAACTTCTGTTTCTCCAGCTATATCAAATAACCAAGGCAGGAAGGAAAAGGAGAATTTAATTAACATTTTTTTTTCTGACAACAAAAAGGACAAAAAGGTACCTTCTTTTGGTAACTCTCATGCTAGATGAAACTGAAATAATAACATTCTAGGTTTTTAAGACTTCAAAATCTGCACTAGTCATTTAAAATTTAAACATTAATATAAATAACAAATATATGCTTAAATATATATATAACAATATACAAAAAACATGAGTAAACAGATAAATTCTAGTTGTCCTAAATTAAAGCAATGTTGCCAAAGTACAGAACAGAGTGAGTGAGAAACAAGGAGAGCTGAAGGAAGGACTAATGAAAGAGGCAAAAAATCAGACATGGGAATGAAGAACGGGAAGGATTTTCACAAATTGCAAGAGGAGAAAGGCATTGTGGAAACTAGCCTGAGCAGGCAAAGAAGCAAGTTCCAGATGGATGAAGAGATGTAACGGTAATGTATTAATACTATGAAAAGAATTTTATTTTTGTTCCATTATTTTTAGAATAATTTAAAATAGGTGAGCTTTATTTTTACTTTAGCCAAACTGCTGTGGGCATGTTGGTGTTCCAAGCAAGAGAACTGCTTGAACCCCGGAGGCAGAGGTTGCAGTAAGCCGAGACTGTGCCACTGCACTCCAGCCTGGGTGACACAGCAAGACTCTGTCTCAAAATAAAATTAACGAATAAATAAAATAAAAGGGATAAAATAGGATGAAATATATTTTGAAGTTAAATTACATTTTCTATGTGTATCTTCCCAGGCAAAAGCTGTAATTCCAGAGAGACTACTAGAACAGGTAGTATCTATTTTTCCTCCATTATTTATTTCTAGAAACTCATAAAATGGATTGTATTTTTCGTTAATAACAAAATATTAAGGTATAGATGACTGACCAAGGGCTTAATCAAATAAAACGACTAACAGTATCTATCATAAAGCCACATAAGCCTTATATTCTCATCTCAAAAATGTGACAGCTTTTTAGTGCTTTAACCATATGAAAAGTGGCTGATTTTATTAGACTTTTAAAAACTTTCATCTATGCCGGGTGCAGTGGATCACACCTGTCATCCCAGCACTTTGGGAGGCCTAGGTGAGTGGATCACTTGAAGTCAGGAGTTCAGGACCTGGCCAACATTGTGAAACCTTGCCTCTACTAAAAATACAAAAATTAGCTGGGTGTTGGGGTATGTGCCTGTAATCCCAGCTACTTGGGAGGCTGAGGTGGAAGAACTGCTTGAATTCTGGAGATGTAGACTGCAGTAAGCCGAGATTGCACCACTGCACTCCTGACTGGGTGATAAAGCAAAACTGTCTCAAAAAAAAGAAGAAAAGAAAAAACTTTCATCTAATCCTTCTGTAGCAAACAGGCATTCAGAACCATTCCACTGATCTTCATAGTGCTGCTCTTTACTGTTTCTAGCCAAAATGAGGCTTCCAATCAAACCATTAGATTTTATACTACAGATAGTCAGCTTCACCAAAGCCACAGAGGAAATATGTTCAGATCAGGTATCCCGCTTGATAGTTTCTTGACTACCATTAAAACAAAGATAGGGCGGTGATGAAAGTCATTGATAGGCTATTAGCATTTTAATCTTTTTTTTTTTTTTTTTTTTTTTGAGACGGAGTTTCGCTCTTGTTACCCAGGCTGGAGTGCAATGGCCCGATCTCGGCTCACCGCAACCTCCGCCTCCTGGGTTCAGGCAATTCTCCTGCCTCCGCCTCCTGAGTAGCTGGGATTACAGGCACGCACCACCATGCCCACCTAATTTTTTGTATTTTTAGTAGAGACGGGGTTTCACCATGTTGACCAGGATGGTCTCAATCTCTTGACCTCGTGATCCACCCGCCTCGGCCTCCCAAAGTGGCATTTTAATCTTTAAAAAGGTCTACCCTAAACCATCTGCTGTGGATCCATAATAAGAGGCCTGTTGTATATGAAATTATCTAGAATTCAGGTGCAGGTCTTTGCCAGTTAAGTAAGGGAGCACCATGCAAAATGGAGGAGGAATGGGGTACACTCATTTGCTTCCTCCTCTTTCCTGATTTAACCAGCATTTTTCAACCCTGGGAAAATTTGCAGAATCTAAGTTGATCGTAATGATTTTGAGCTGCAGTGGCTTTAACTCTTACCCTTTGTCTACGCAGTTATGGTTTGTGAGTTGGAAAGAAACAACTGTAGGTAGCTCCATGTACATAATTATCTGTTTATTCACAAAATACTAAAATTGATTCTAAATGCTAACATGGAAAATTTTTGGATTAAAATGTATTTTTCAAAGTGTAAAAAAAAAAAAAAAAAAAGAATAAGGCCAATTAGTTTAAGTAACAAATTAGACCGTTACTCCTTACTCCTACAGGAATAATTTGCTGGTATTTTTTTTTTTCATACATTAACTTTGGAGAAAAAAAAAAAGAAGCCCAAGTTTAGAGTTGAAAAGGCCCATTTCATCCCAGCTCTGCCCTTTCCCAGTGAGCTGAGACTTGAGCAGGTTATTTAACTTCACTGAGGATATATGCATACTTCCCAGAAAATGTGGCCTTGCATCCTCATCTATAATGTGAGAATATACCCACTTCATAAGCCTTTTGTGAAAATTAAATGATATGCTCAAAGCACTTAGCACTGTGTCTATCATATGGCTACCAATCAACAGCCAAACAAACCTGTTCTGCTCTCAGAACTTCTCAGCCTTCTCCATTTCAGTCAGTGAAATCACCATCCTGGCTAACTCCCTCTCCTGCTACATGATACCCAGCAGCAAGTAACCCCAATATTTATTTTTACTTCCAAAACATACCTCAAATCTGTTTACCTCTGCCCAACTGCAACTACCATTTTGCTGACCACCTCTGATACATCTATAGCTGGTCTCTGAGCCTCTCTGCCTTGATCCCATCATCCTACTTCTTTCTAAGTTACCACAGTAATCTCTTAAATACATGAATCATGTTTCTCTCTGAATGAAAATCCTTCAGTGTGATGTCACCACTGCATCTAGTAGATAGCACATTGTTGGCTGATATAAAATGATTAGTAACATAAATATATTTCACATATTTAATGTGTGACTTATTCCTTTGGAAATAGAATTTTCCAGGTGCTTTTTAAAAAGACTTATTTGGATAAACTCAGAACTGGTTAAAGCTTATTCATAAAGAATATTAAATATAGTCAGTATTTGAAAGATGTATCTCAGATGAATATGCTAAGTGACTAAAAGACAGCATCTTCTCTAATCCACTTACCAATTCCTGATGAACAAATGTCTTCAGTAAAGAAGTATCTCCTATAGATATTTATCTTTAATATACTTCATGTCATCATTTTTAATATTTGAATTAAAGAGTTTTTTTTTCCACCCCCTTAATCATTAGAAACTTGAGTGAAGGAAAACTGAGTTACCTGGGCTTGGTATTTTCGAACTTTAGTTATTTGGTTGGCTTTTGCTTCCATCCTTCCCACTAATGCCTCCAATTCACACTCTAAGTTCTCTTTCAGTTCAACAGTTGGTGACTCCTGGATAAGTTTTGTAAGCTGCTGGTGATCACTACATACAAAGCAGAAGTAAAACGTGGTTAAGTTTTCTATGTTTCATGGTTAGGTCTATTATACCTTACTCATTATGGGGTTACTGCTCAATTTTTAATTGAAAATACGAAATAAAAAGTTCAAGAAAGGCACTGGAGGCAAATTCAAGAGTTCTTAATTTCAAAGATAATTCTTTAAATTCATATTTTTCCCAAAAGAGTATTGTATATGTAAAGCAAAGTCTAGAGAATCTTGTTGTTCAAATACTCACATCCTAACTTACCAGTTAAGTTTAGCTAAAATGAATATAATGCCAGGTACCCAATGATGATGTAGTAGTAAACAATAGACCACATATACATCAGTGGTCCCATAAACTTTAATATCATATTTTTACTGTAGCAAGATATGTTTATATACACAAATATTTACCATTGTGTTACAATTGCTTATAGTATTCAGCAGTAGAGTTAACATGCTGTACAGGTTTTTATAGCCTAGGAGCAATAGGCCATAAGCTTAGTATACTCTTACTGTAGCTCAGGGAGAAAATAAATCATCTATATATTTCTCAGAACACATCTTTGTCATCAGTGATGAATTACTGTATATCAAGTTCTCAAAGAAATAAAACTTTAGTGTAAATCTTGGTCTTCAAAACATTTAACAGTATTTAAAAAGAGATTATACCCTTATTAGTTGTGTTTGTTAAAGTCTCAGTAACTTGGTTGGTATAAGGATTGTGCTCAACTATACTTGCTGAACAAAGGAAAGTAAGATTAATAAAGTCAACAAGTTTTTTAAAAATGAGGTTTTAGAGCTAAGTTGAATTTAAAAACCAACTCACAAGCTCATTTGCCCAAATTCATCCTGTAAAGTCTGTAAGACTTCTGACAACTCCTCATTAATACCGTTGGAGGAGGAAGGTGTTACTGACAACTTCTTATTTTTACCACCTCGTGAAGATACTTGCTTTGCCAAAGGAATACTGCTGACAACTCGATCATTGCACAAAACTTTACTGTGTTGCTTCATTAGATGCAGGACAAGCTGAACGTTGGCTACCACAGCATGGCTAGGACTTGTGGACTAAAGGAAGAAAAATGATGAAATAAATAATTGAAGCTATATTTTCTACACCACTGGTAAAAAGAACTCTCCACCCCACAAAGTATAGTATATAAATCCAAAAAATATTACTCTGATCATGATGTTCTTCTATTTGAAACCCTTTGATATAAATCCACTATGCTTCAGAATGGAAAATAAGGCCCTACATACACATCGAGCTGCAACCAACATTTTTTAGCTGCATGTCCTATCGTCCCCCACTTCTCTCCATTTTATGAACAAACCCTATTTGCAGATGACCTTTTTTTTTTTTTTGGACATTTATATTATCCTTTAAAACCCAGTTCAAATATGTTATTTTTTAAAGGCTTCCTTAAAACTGCCAGGTAATTAAGCAGTCCATTCCAGATCACCTATAACACTTTTTACATATCTCTCTCATAGCATTTATCACAATATACTGTTACCGCTTTCATATATCTATTTCACCTATGAAACAGTGTACATCCAGGTGGTAGAGACTATTACTCATTTCTCTATCTCGGAATAATAAGAAACACTAAATACATGTCTATCACATGTGTAAGAAAAACCTGATAACTTCTTAAAAATATTTTTGTTTTAAACACTAAACCAACAATCTCAATGTGCTATTCCATTTTACAAATAGATGGCTGGGCTTACTTGGCTCCATACATATCATTAGACAGCATATTTAAAACGTAGTTTCCTAAGCAGCACACAAACTCACTGCAGAGTTAACAGTTTGGAAATTTGTGTTTTTCAGTCCTCCAGTTGATTCTGACTAGCCAGATTTGGAACCACCATTCTAAGCTAAACACATGCTTTCCTTCTAATCTTAGTTTCTATTGTTAGCTAGCAAATTGAATGCAGCAGTGTTATATATCGCATCCAAGTGGGGTTTACTACAGCAATGCAAGGCTGGTCCACTATTCGAAAATCAATGTAACTGCTATTTTGCCTGTAATTCGCAGTATGTATTTATTATACTAATTGCCTACAAGTATACTTTCAATATGCAATTTAAAACATTCTCTAATTCTTGTCCTGATTATATTTATTAATAGGCAGTTGACCCTTGAACAACGGAGGGGTGAGGGGCACTTACCACCCATGCAGTCAAAACTCTGCTATAATGAAACTTTTGTTTTCCTTCAACTTTTAAAGTTCTGGGGTGCATGCACAGATTTGTTACATAGGTAAATGTGTGCCATGGTGGTTTGCTGCACAGAATAACCCATCACCTAGGTACTAACGTCAGCAACCATTAGCTACCCTTCCTGATGCTCTCTCCCTGCTGACCAACTCCCTGACCAAAAAGGCCCCAGTGCATGTTGTTCCCACTATGTGTCCATGTGTTTTGGTCATTCACCTCCCACTTATGTAACTGAGATCTATAATAAAAGTTTTGAATGCCCTAAAATGTAACTAATAGCCTGCTGTTGACTAGAAGCATTTATATTATGTTTTATGTATTATAAACTATATTATAGATATAATGTTAGAAGAAAATCCTAAGGAAGGAGAAAGTATATTTACTATCTATCAAACAGATCACCAAGGCCTTCATCCCCATTATCTTAACTGTTGAGTAGGCAGAAGAGTAGGGTTGGTCTCACTGTATCAGGAATGGCAGAGGCAGATGAGGTAGAGAGGGTGAAGGAGAGGCAGGAGAGGCTAGCACATTCTGTGTAACTTTACAGAAATACACCATAATTTGTCTGACTTTTCTACCTTTTCATTTCTCTAAAAATGTTTCTGTATGACACCAATTCTTCTTCCACTATTGGCTTTAGTTTCACTGATGCATCATAAAAGGGTCTATGTCATCAAAGTCAAAAGCAGGCTGGGTACAGTGCCTCACGCCTATAGTCCCAGCACTTTGGGAGGCCAGCGTGGGTAGATCACCTGAGGTCAGGATTTTGAGACCAGCCTGGCCAACATGGTGAAACCCCGACTCTATCAAAAAAATACAAAAATAGGCCAGGCGTGGTGGTACACACCTATAGTCCCAGCTACTTGGCAGGCTGAGGTGGGAAAATTGCTTGAACCTGGAAGGTGGAGGTTGCAGTGAGCTGAGACTGTGCCATTGCACTCTAGCCTGGGTGACAGAGCAAGACTTCTGTCTCAAAACAAAACAAACAAGAAAACCTCAAAAGCAGTCCTGAATAATTAGAATCCTTCTGCCAGACTGTCTAATGTCAATTTGTTTTCTGACATTACTTCTTCATTGCCTTCCACTGGTTTGAAAGCACTCATATCCATCCCAGTTGTCTGTTAATTCCTCTGTCGTGGTTTCTATTAAGTCTTGAATTTCTCCAAGATTCGTATCTTGAAATCCTTCACCTCCAACCTTTTTTGCCATATCTACAGTCTCCTTCATGATTTCCTTGATTGGCTCTGCCATAAATCCTATGAAATTATGCATATCATGATTTTCTTCAGCAGGAATTATTTCAGGCTTGATGGCTTTCATGGCTCTTTCTATAAAAATGACGGTATCTTCAACTATGTAAACCTTCCAGATTTTCACAATGTTCTGAGGTTCTCTACCACAGCATTGAGAACCCTTTCTATAGCATATGTAATGTTCCTTAGAGGTTCTTATGCTCCCTGATTTAGAAGCTGAATTATAAACATAGTGTTTAGGGGCAAATAAGACTAATTCCATGATTTTGGTGTTGAACTTCCATGCTCCTGGGTAGCTAGCGGCATTGTCTAGTATTAAAAAGACTTTAAAAGGCAGTCTCTTACCAGCAAATTACTTCCTGACTTCAGGGGCAAAGCATTGATGGATCCAGGTTAGAAAAAGGGTTCTCAAAGGGGCATTCTTATTGTAAAACCAAAGACTGGCAGTTGGATATATTTCCCCTTGAAAGCTCAGGGATTAGCAGCTTTATAAATAGGGCAGTCCTGACTGTAAATCCGACTGTGTTTTCACAAAATAGTAGATTTAGCCTATCTCCTCCTGCCTTAAATCCTGGTGCTTCCAACTCTTCCTTACTTACAAATATCCTTTGTGGCATCATGGTCTTCTAGAATAGGGCACTTCTGTCTGCATTAAAAGTCTGTTCAGGAAGACACCCTTTCTCCTCAATGATTTTCTTAATGGTATCTTGGGACTGATCTGCTGCTTTCTGATCAGCAGAAGGTACTTCTCCTATCCTGACATTTTTAAACCCAAACCTCTAAAATTATCAAACGATCCTTTGCTGGAATTAAATTCTCCAGCTTTATATACCTCACCTTCCTTTTAAGTTGTCATATAATGAGTTTCCTTTTTCTCAAATCATATTAGCATCTGCAAGTATGCCTTTCTTATAGCAATCCTGCATTCACATAAAAGTTGCATTCTCAATGAGATAAAAAGGTATTTTGCAAAAAGCACAAGGTTTTGGTACCTGCTAGAGTATGTGCAGTTGGTAGTTTCACAAATTTCCTTTTTTTTTTTTTTTTTTTTTAAAAGAGACAAGATTTTGTTCTGTTGCCTAGGCTGGAGTGCAGTGGTGCAAACATAGCTTACTACAGCCTCAAACTCCTGGGCTCAAGTAATCCTCTTCTCTCAGCCTCCTAAGTAGCTGGGACGACAGGTGCACCCCACCATGCCTGGCACCGCTTTTTTTTTTTTTTTTTAAACTATGATCCTTCAGCTGGATTCATTTATTTTGAAATGGTGGACAGCCACAGCTGCAGACCTCAATCTGCATATCAAGCAATGCAACTTTTTCTCGTCATGTCATGACTTTTCTCTGCTTCTTGGGAGCACTTCCGCCATCATTCTATGGTATTAATCAAGGTTTACTGTTTTGCGTTAAACATGATGGAAAATATGCAACTGCCTAGAGAACATTGTTTTAATGCTTATTTAAATATCTACCTATATCTAAATATAAGATTTGCATCACACAGCATTTTAAGTGAATACTTCCAACCCTTGAACTCATCACAATGGCAACACAAGGTAGCTACAAAAATCAGGGTTGTACAATATGTACTACAGTTAATTTTATACAGTTATGATTTAATAGTGCAACTTTATCTCTGTTTACATTTCTCTGGACTGTGAATGGTGCCATGTAGTCTGTGTCTGTGTGCAAATTGTTTTGATACATTGTAATTTTAAAAATAAATTTGTGTATATTTTATGGTAGTAAATGAAAAAATGCCCTAGTACTGACAATTTTATGCATCCATGACATACCAACTTTTTAACTTCTGATATTTCTAAGCTACAGTTTGCAAGATTTTTCAAACTGCTGCAAATCTCCAAAAATTTTTCTGATATACTTACTGAACAAAAGAAAATCAGCTTATAAGCAGACCTACACACAGTTCAGACTCATGTTGTTCAAGGGTCAACTGTACTTTTTTCAAATGCCTGTCACCACTAATGTATTCTATTCCCTATGATTTCACTGAAAATTTACTAGGGGTTTAAAACAAATAAATATAAACAAATATAAAATGAAAAAGAACATTTACTTCCCAAGATGCTAGAATGACAATCTAGCTGCAATCTAAACATAAAACCACCAGCAACACAGATAGCTTATATAGTGTCAACTAACATAGTTTTAGGCATTTCATTCAGTACTTGTTGATATATGACACTATATCTTTATATACAAGTGCTAAAGAAACGTAAGATTCAAGTGTATGTATGACTGCTTCTTCGAGAATTAGTCCTAGAAATGATGTGGATGTAAGGACAAGCAGAATGTGCTATATACTTATTTAAATATCTATATCTAAATATAAATCATCAGGATTGATACTAAAATTCCAATGCTACAAACATGTTATTTCTTATTTCCTTGACCCCTATCTGAAGCGACACCTTCTTCAGCTTCAAATTCTTTCCTTCCACATATATTTTATCTACTTTAAGGTACCCTCCCCATCTCTTCCTTGCTTCCTCCATTCCAAAAAACCTCCCTGCATCTCATTTTCATATAATTATGATCCACACTGGTAAAGGGACAGAAAAATGTTCCTACCATGTATAGACAAACTTGCAGATGCAGGGATTTAATTCAAGGATCAACACTGTATAAGGAGGACTGAGAATTTGACCAACTCACCTTCCCAGCTACAAACGGCATATCACCCAAGCATAATCTATAATGTGGTTGTGCACCGAAATAGTTCTTAGAACTTTTCTGAATGAAAAGAAAAGGAAAATAATTTTATTTTATTCACATGATAATAAACACTGACTATACAAGAGTAACTTGAAACTTCAGTTAACTACTGGGCTACTACTTGCCTTATCTATAGCTGGCATTTTGGTCATGAGCCAGCTCCTAACAGTTCTTATCAAACGTGTCCTAGCCTAGGAAAGGCTGGGGGGAAAAAAGCACTTGACAAAGCAACAGTTACCCTCTAAGTAGAAAATCAGTACACATATACATAAAACATTGTAACAGCACAAGATAATGCAGTACTAATAATGCTACTCTTGTATGGACAGTTGGTATAACTTATCTCCACCTTCTGAATGAAGAAATTGAGAATGAAAGATTTACTCTCCCAAGGTTGTAGTACACCAGAGTTTATGGGTGTTCTGACATAAACTATACCAAGTAATCAGCACTTTGCCTGATTTGGTTCTGTTTTCACACCTTTTCTGGTGGTTTTGACTTCTTTTTTTTAATTCTTCTTGCATTGCGAACACGTGGAGTTGCCTTATCTTCAAAGATAAGTCTATTTGTTTCTAGACCAGTCTGCAACTAGGAGAAATGAGAGCCTAAAGTTAATGCTGTAGAAATAAAAGCTATGACTCAAATTTGAGATGTGTCATGTAAAAAGCCTGTAAAAATCAATGGTGGTATCTAACTGAAAAACATATTATAGCTGTGTAACTATGTCTTGAGCCAAACAATCAACATTTGTCAATTATTTTAAATCAATACCAGTCTCAACTACTTTGTTATAATTTGTCCTTTCTTTAGCGTGGAACACATTACCCACAGTATTTGTAGTGACTCCATAAATTCTATCAAACGAGTTAAATGCAACGTATCTAACTCCAAACCATTGCTTCAATATTTTTTCTTTTCAAAAATGACATCTATTACATTGCCAGGCACAAAACAGCCGAAGAGCAGAATACATTTCTTCCTTTTCTAAAAAGCCATGCGCTTACTGTATAAGAAAAAGGAACTGAAAACTTATATCCAAAAAATCCCAAAACAAAAAACAAAAAACAACTGGAAGCTCTCAGGCAAATATTACCAAGCCCTTTTCTCTAGAAGCTTAGTAACTATACTAATTTTAAAATATCCTATCTTCATGGTACAAATTCCACAAGCACTTGCTAAGAATTTCAAAAAAGGACTGCTCTTTTCACTAAGACAACTTTCAACTTTCCTTTTTTTAAAAAACACCTGTCTAGAATAGTTGTTGTTTCAAATCGGCCTATATGTACCAAAACTGTCTGCAGTTTATGACAACAATCTGGATTGCTAGGCGCCTGTTCGGACCTCATGACTTTGGGCCTTCCAGGTTGAGGAAATTCATATTTTAAAGTATATTTTAAAGTTCCCCAGGAAATTATAATGGAGCTGAAACAAATACTCAGAACCAGTGGATTCCGTAAAAACAAATGCTGAGATTATCACTAATACTTCCCACATGACTGCACGCTTTGGGGAAAAAAATCTATTCTGTGAAGAAGGAATACAGGAATCTCTACCCTCAGTAAGCAACTATACACTCCCGATACATCTAACATTGCTTTATACATAGTAAACTGACTAGACATAATTCAAGGAACAGGAAATTACTACTCTAGAAGACTTATGATGTCAATGAGTATAAATAGTATACAAGAATACTTTGAGTATTATCACTTCCAGTTTTTTTAGCTCTTCCCAGCAGCTGCCTTATTGTGTGCTACAGTTTTAAAACATTTTAAAGCACTTTCATTATTTTTTACTCTCATGTGATCACCCCAACACCAAGAAGATGTAAAATGTGGAACACTCCTTTTTGTTTTTTAGATACAGAGTTTTCCTCTTGTTGTCCAGGCTGGAGTTTAATGGTGTGATCTCGACTCACTGCAACCACCACCTTCCAGGTTCAAGTGATTCTCCTCCCTTAGCCTCCAAAGTAGCTAGGATTACAGGCATGCATCACCACACCCGGCTAATTTTGAATTTTTAGTAGAGACAGGGTTTCACCAGGTTGGTCAGGCTGGTCTTCAACTCCTGACCTCAGCAGATCACTCTTAATCAATGGTAAAAATCCAGGCTCTGAATAATTACATGACTTGTCCAACGCTAGAACTGGAACCACATATCTATCCCATTGCTCTTTCAGTACAATAATGTTCAGAACTCAAAATATTTACTGGTAATATATTATTAGCAACAACTAATTTGGTCCCTATGTGTTGCCTGGTAAATGAAGGAGAAAACTGAAGTACCATAAATTATTTTAAAAATTCATTAAATAAGGAACTTATTAAATTTTGTATTTCATATATAATGTAATCAACACCACAATGCATATAAAGCAGAACCCATTTTTGTTTGTTACAAGTATAGACATGAAGACAGTGAAGTGGCCACCAACTCTAAAGAGAAAATGGGCAAAGAAAATCTGTTGGTCAAAAATTAAGCCATGTGGCTATATAACTCAGAAAGCACATTAAAAAACAGTAAATCTGCAAACTGATCTGAAGGTAAAAATATTTGAGAAGGAAATATATCGGGTTTAATAGACAGAAATTAAGTCAAAAAATTTAGAGAAGCACTAGAAGAAATAGACAAGGTAACAAAGATGAGATAATGTTTATATTCCTGTAATCACATATATGAAGTGAGCCCAAGACACTGTAGGCCTTTGATCACAGACCGAACTGCAGAGGCTCTACTTCTTTGGAATCAGGACCTGATGCTTGTGTTCATATGAAAAAAGATACATGCAAACGTCATAAAAATAAAAGACCCTGGAAGGGGCAGGGGAGTATCTGGAGGAATGTGAGCAATAAGCTCATAAGGAGAGTGTCTTCAGTTAAAAACATGAAAATTTTATTTTACTGAGTCTGTAAGTCAGAGTTACTTCAGTGTCTTGCTATGTATCTCCTAGAAATGCAGTTCTGGTTGGTACATATAAATTAAATGCTTTTGTGAATCCAAACTGCCTCACCTATTCTATCTGATGGCCACTGCATGGGATAAAATCCAAAACAGGGAGAGAGTAGAGTCATTTTCCTCATGTGATGGCTTCTGTTAACTGGTCTGGGTCATTAGCTACTGGGGCAGCCCACTACCTCAACTTCTGTCCTGGTGTCTTGAGGCCACCAAAGAAAAGAAGTACCTGTAAGTGAGATACTGAAAGATAGCTTTTAAATATTTCTGAAAGTGGCCATGATAAAAAATTTTACATGATTACATACCTTATGTGTATAGTCTCGGATTTTTTTGTAGTCTGTTATTTTTTAAAATGTTGAAACTCCACAATTACAAACATGCTAAAAAATTGTTCAAATTTTACTGTCTATAAAAATACTTGTTCGTAATTTTCCGCATTAATCTACATCTGAAAATTTATGTTGGACTATTTTAAAACATAAATAATGTAAGATACCCAAATATGATTGTTTACTTGTACATAAAAAAGTGGTAAGAAATATGAAGAGCCCACTTTCTTACATTTTAACTTACCTCGGCTGCCTTAGCTTGCATGCGTTTCCTTTCCTGCTCTTCTTCATGGAGTTTTGCTTCTAACTCTTGCATTTTTTTCTAATGATAAAAATACCAAAAGGAATAATAGTGAAAAATTTTAAGTGTCTATAAAATTTTTCACTATTTATTATAGCAGCATAGGAACATGTAAATTTTATCCTAGTCAACATAAGGTGGTTAGATCACTGTAATAATGGGGGGTCTGAGCTGGACAGCATCCATGATGCTCTCCTCCTTTGTGTTCAATTATTTATCATCTCCTCCTTTGTGTTCAAGTATTTTGTCCATTTAGCTGGACAAAATTATGAGTAAAATCTATGGCCAAAGAACACAGCACTGTATGAATGTAAATAGGGATATAAAGGCTAAATCTGGAACTTTATTCTCAGTGGTATTAAATATTAAATATCTCCCAAGTGAAATAATTAAAACTAAAATTCGCTCAGAGAGCAACTTAACTTAAACCTAGTGATGCAAGCCTTAAAAATACTCAAAAACATTTAATTTTTTAACAAACATTTTCATAAAGAATTCCCTCATGCCCAATTTTAAAATGTGAACATTCTCTCCAAATTTATATTTTCTTTTTAAAACTCCAATAGATTTCATTTTAAGATCATTTTTAACGCTATAAATATCCAGTGATACAAAATAATTAACATTTAAAAAATACCCTCATACATGTTAACAATAAAAAGATACATGCACTGACTTCTGCAAGGGCCTGCATTGTAGTAAGTTTGTTGTACTCCTGTTCCAGAAGATCCAATTTTTCAAGCTGGCTCTGAACATGTGTTTGACCATGTTGTCGTTCTCTTTCTAGGGAAACCTGAAAAACAATATTCAATACAACTTGATAATTTGACAATCAAAAAACAGAAACACACTGACACAGCAGACTATGCTGTTATTTGTCTGGCCTTTCACAGAACTACTTCTAGGAAAATAACATTAAGATGAAACCACAGGGGGCATCAATAAATGACTGATATAAGTAGATACTATTTTTACCTCAGTTGCCTTAGATTATAGCTATTTACCCAATTTGTAGTTTTATATAGTGATATTATCTTTATGCTTGGGGATAGCAGGGATATACTGGACATCTTCTAGACTGCATACACAGACAATACTTTTAATTTGGTCCTCTTAAGTAAGTGAATCTCTTACTTAGGGTAAAAATTATGGTTTTGAAATCTATCTTTTCATATTTTCTCTGAATTCCATGTAAAATATCCCTTTAAACTTTTTTTTTTTTTCCCCAAGTTTAGAGTCAAAGATTTGTAAAGACTGCCTCCTATATAGGTTATTTTTTTGAGATGGGGGTCTTGTTCTGTCACCCAGGCTGGAGTGCAGTGGTATGACCCTGGCTCACGGCAACTTTTACACACTGGGTTCAAGCAATTCACCTGCCTCAGCCCCCCTAATGAACTGGGATTACAGCCATCTGCCACCACATCTGGCTAATTTTTGTATTTTTAGTAGAGAAGGGGTTTTATCACATTGGCCAGGATGCTCTCGAACTACTAACCTCAAGTAATCCACCTGTAAACCATTATACTAGGATAAGTTGAAACAGACTAACTCAAGGTCTATTATTGGTAGAAAGTGCCTGAACTGTGTCATAAGGCTATAATAATAGGTATCATATTAACAGGAATTTGATTATGACAAATTAATATGAAGCAATAATTTAATCAGGAATTCATGTCAACTTACTCTCTTCTATCTATATCCTAGTAGATATTAACAGCTCTTGACATCTATTATATATAACTAATAGTTGTCTCTGAGATATATATTAGGCAAAACATCTTAAAGTTGTCTTCTTAAACTGACCCCTTTCTCCAGCCCAACCATCACAGAAATGTCGACAAACACAGCAGCAACAATAATATGATTACTGATGTGGTCTGGCTCTGTGTCTTCACCCAAATCTCATCTTGAATTGTAATCCAAATTGTGATCCCCATGTTTTGAGGGAGGGATCTCATGGGAGGTGATTAGATCATGGGGGTGAGTTCCCCCATGCTGTGCTTGTGATAGAGTTCTCAACAAGATCTGATGGTTTTATAAGGGGCTTTTCCCCACTTTGTGCTGCACTTCTCTCTCTTGCCACCATGTGAAGGACATGTGTGCTTGCCTTTCCACTGTAACTGTAAGTTTCCTGACAGAACTGAGTCAATTAAACCCCTTTCTTTTAGAAATTACCCAGTCTTGGGTGTTCTTTATAGCAGCGTGAGAATGGACTAATACAATTACACAGCTATTTTGAAAGCAAGAAAGGAAAACCTTCAGATAAAAAAAAAAGAAAGAAAGCAAATGAAGGTATACTGAAATCAAGTATCACATAAGGCAATACTGGAATCAGAGTATGTAAAATGTGCAGGAACACAATATAAAACTTTAGGTGATATATAATCTACAATTATCAACAGTATCAAGCAAATATAGTAACATAAATCTGGATCAGAACCAGTGATTTTATTTTATTGACTGACTTGATTGATAGATTGTAGAGACCTGGACTCGCTCTGTTGCCCTGGCTGGTCTCAAACTCCTGTACTGAAGAGATCTGCCTGCCTTAGTCCCCCAAAGTGCTGGGATTACAGGTGTCAGCCACTCCGTCCAGCCAGAACCTGTGAAAACTATAAAGTCTAACCACAGGGAAATTTACAACTGGCTCATAAGGCTGCCCACACAACCGAGGAGTTTATTGTGGAATTTCCACAATATAAAAAATGAGATCACCATATAACTTTTCCTCATTAAAAAAAAGTTCTGCTCTCTGGGCAGTGCATCTCTGCAAGAAAGGCAGCAACCCCAGTCAGGAGTTCATAAAACTCCCATCTCCCTAGGACAGAGCACCTGGGGGAAGGGGTGGCTATGGGCAGAGCTTCAGCAGACTTAAATAACTCTACCCGCTAGCTCTGAAGAGAGCAGCAGATCTCCTAGCACAGCACTAAAGCTCTGCTAAGGGACAGACTGCCTGCCTCCTCAACTGGGTCCCTGACTCCAGTGCCTCCTGATGGGAAGACACCTCCCAGCAAAGGTCGACAGACACCTCATATAGGAGATCTCCAGCTGGCATCTTATGGTGCCTCTCTGAGACAAAGGCCCCAGAGAAGGAACAGGCAGCAAGCTTTGCTGTTCTGCAGCCTCCACTGGTGATACCCAGGCAAACAGGGTCTGGAGTGGCCCTCTATCAGGCCTGCAATGAAGGAAAACTAACAAACAGAAAGGAATAGCATCAACATCAACAAAAAGGCCATCCACTCAGAAACCCCATCCAAAGGTCACTAACATCAAAGACCAAAGGTAGATAAACCCACGAAGATGAGGGAAAACCAGCTCAAAAAGGCTGAAAATTCCAAAAACCAGAATCCCTCTTTTCCTCCAAAGGATCACAACTCCTTGCCAGCAAGGGAACAAAGCTGGACAGAGAATGAGTTTGACGAATTGACAGAAGTAGGCTTCAGGCAGTAGGTAATAACAAACTCTTCTGAGCTAAAACAGCATGTTGTAATCCAATGCAAGAAAGCTAAGAACTTGAAAAAAAAAGATTAGAGGAATTTGACTAGAATAACCAGTTTAGAGAAGAACATAAATGTCCTGACAGAGCTGAAAAATACAGCACAAGAAACTTTGTGAGGCATACACAAGTATAAATAGCTGAATCGATCAAGCAGAAAAAGGATATCAGAGATTGAAGATCAACTTAATGAAATAAAGTGTGAAGACAAGATTAGAGAAAAAAGAATGAAAAGGAACAAACAAAGCTCCAAAGAAATATGGAACTATGTGAAAAGACCAAACTTCAGACTGGTGTGCCTGAAAGTGACAGGGAGAATGGAACCAAACTGGAAAACATTCTTCAAGATATAATCCGGGAGAACTTCCCCAACTTAGCAAGACAAGGCCAACATTCAAATTCAGGAAATAAAGTGACCACCACAAAGATATTCCTTGAGAAGAGCAACCCCAAGACACCTAATTGTCAGATACACCAAGACTGAAATGAAGGGAAAAATGTTAAGAGCAGCCAGAAAGAAAGGTCAGGTTACCCACAAAGGGAAGCCCATCAGACTAACAGCAGATCTCTTGGCAGAAACCCTACAAGCCAGAAGAGAGTGGGGGCCAATATTCAACATTCTTAAAGAAAAGAATTTTCAACCCAGAATTTCATATCCAGCCAAACTAAGCTTCATAAGCTAAGAAGAAATAAAATCCTTTACAGACATGCAAATGCTGAGAGAGTCTGTTAAGACCAGGCCTGCCTTACAAGAACCCTTGAAGGAAGCACTAAACACGGAAAGGAACAACTGGTAACTGCCACTGCAAAAAACATACCAAACTGTAAAAACCATTGACACTATGAAGAAACTGCATGAACTAATGGGCTAAATAACCAGCTACCATCATGACAGGATCAAATTCACACATAAACATATTAACCTTAAATGTAAACGGGCTAAATACCTCAATTAAAAGACACAGACCGGCAAACTGGATAGAGTCAAGACCCATCAGTGTGCTGTATTCAGGAGACCCATCTCACATGTGAAGACACAAACAGGCTCAAAATAAAGGGAAGGAGGAATATTTATCAAGCAAATGGAAAGCAAAAAAAGAAGGAGTTGCAATCCTAGTCTTTGATAAAACACACTTTAAACCAACAAAGATCAAAAAAGTCAAAGGGCATTATACAATGGTAAAAGCATCAAAGCAACGAGAAGAGCTAACTATCCTAAATGTATATGTACACAATGCAGGAATACCCAGATTCATAAAGCAAGTTCTGAAAGACCTACAAAGAGACTTAAAGTCCCACAAAGTAATAGTGGGTGACTTTAACTCCCCACTGTCAATATTAGACAGATCAATGAGACAGAAAATTAACAAGGATATTCAGGACTTGAACTCAGCTCTGGACCAAGCAGATCTAATAGACATCTATCTACAGAACTCTCCACCCAAAATCAACAAAATATGCATTATTCTCAGCACCACATTGCACTTATTCTAAAACTGACTACATAATTGGAAGTAAAACACTCCTCAGCAAATGCAAAAGAACAAAAATCATAACAGTCTCTCAGACAACAGCGCAATCAAACTAGAACTCAGGATTAAGAAACTCACTCAAAACCGCACAACAACACAGAAACTTAACAACCTGCTCCTGAATGACTATTGGGCATATAAAGCAGAAATAAGTAAGTTTTTAGAAACCAATGAGAACAAATACACAACGTACCACAATCTCTGGGACATAGCTAAAGCAGTGCTTAGAGGAAAATTTATAGCACTAAATGCCCACAGGATAAAGCAGGAAAGATCTAAAATTGACACCTTAACATCACAATTAAAAGAACTAGAGAAGCAAGATGAAATACATTCAAAAGCTAGCAGAAGACAAGAAATAACTAAGATCAGAGCAGAACTGAAGGAGAGAGAGACATAAAAAATCATTTAAAAAAGCAAAGAATCCAGGTGCTGGTTTTTTGAAAAGATCAACAAAATACATAGACTACTGGCCAAAGTAATAATGAAGAAAAAATCAAATAGACACAATAAAAAAGATGAAAGCAATATCACCAATGATCCCACAGAAATGCAAACTACCATCAGAGAATACTATAAACAAGTCTATGCAAATAAACTAGAAAATCTAAAAGATATGGATAAATTCCTAGACACATATACCTGCTGAAGACTAAACCAGTTTGAAATCAAAACCCTGAATAGACCAGTAACAAGTTCTGAAATTGAGGCAGTAATCAGTAGCCTACCAACCAAAAAACGTCCAGGACCAGACAGAATCACAACTGAATTCTACCAGAGGTATAAAAACTGAGCTGGTACCATTTCTACTGAAACTATTCCACATAAAAGAAAAAGGACTCCTCCTCCCTAACTCATTTTATGAGGTCAGCATTATCCTGAAACCAAAACCTTGCAGAGACACAATTTCAGGCCAATATCCTTGATGAACATCGATCCGAAAATCCTCGATAAAATACAGGCAAACCGAATCCAGCACCACATCAAAAAGCATACCCACCACCATCAAGTCAGCTTCATCCCTGATATGCAAGGCTGGTTCAACATACACAAATCAGTCAATGTAAACCATCACATAAACAGAACCAATGACAAAAACCACATGAGTATCTCAACAGATGCAGAAAAGGCCTCTGATAAAATTCAATACCCCTTCATGCTAAAAACTCTCAATAAACTAGATATTAATGAAATGCATATCAAAATAATAAGCGTTATTTTTGACAAACAGCCAACATCATACTGAATGGGCAAATACTGGAAGCATTCCCTTTGAAAACCAGTACAAGACAAGGATGCCCTCTCTCACCACTCTTCTTCAACATACTACCGGAATTTCTGGCCAGGGCAATTAGGCAAGAGAAAGAAATAAAAGAGTATTGAGACAGGAAGAAAGGAAGTCAAATTGTTTTTGTCTGCAGATGACACGAATGTATATTTCGAAAACCCCACTGTCTCAGCTCAAAATCTCCTTAAGCTGATAAGCAACTTTAGCAAAGTCTCAGGACACAAAATCAATGCGCAAAAATTACAGGCATTCCTATATACCAGGCGTCCCCAAACTTTTTACACAAGGGGCCAGTTCGCTGTCCCTCAGACCGTTGGAGGGCCGCCACATACTGTGCTCCTCTCACTGACCACCAATGAAAGAGGTGCCCCTTCCTGAAGTGCGGCGGGGGGCTGGATAAATGGCTTCAGGGGGCCGCATACGGCCTGCGGGCTGTAGTTTGGGGACGACTGCTATATACCAATAACAGACAAACAGAGAGCCAAATCATGAGTGAACTTCCATTCAATATTGCTACAAAGAGAATAAAATACATAGGAGTACAACTTACAAGTGATATAAAGGACTTCTTCAAGGAGAACTACAAACTACTGCTCAAAGAGGTAAGAGAGGACACAAACAAATGGAACAACATTCCATGCTCATGGACAGGAAGAACCAATATTGTGAAAATGGTCATACTGCCCAAAGTAATTTATAGATTCAATGCTATTCCCAGCAAACTACAATTGACTGTCTTCACAGAATTAGAGCCAAAAAAGAGCCCATACCGCCAACACAAGCCTAAGCAAAAAAAATAAAGCTGGAGGCATCATGCCATCTGACTTCAAACTATACTACCGAGCTACAGTAATCAAAACAGCATTGGTACTGGCACCAAAACAGATACATAGACCAATGAAACAAAACAGAGGCTTCAGAAATAACACCACACATCTATAACCATCTGATCTTTGATGTACCTGACAAACAAAAACAAGCAATGGGGAAAGGATTCCCTATTTAATAAATGATGTTAAGAAAACTGGCTAGCCACATGCAGAAAACAAACTGGACCCCTTCCTTACACCTTATATACAAACTAACTCAAGATAAATTAAAGAGTTAAATATAAGACCTAAAACCATAAAAACCCTAGAAGAAAACCTATGCAATACCATTCAGGACATAGGCATGGGCAAACACTTCATGACAACACCACCAAAAGCAATGGGAACAAAAGCCAAAATTGACATATAGGATCTAACTAAAGAGCTTCTGCACAGCAAAAGAAACTATCATCACAGTGAACAGACAACCTACAGAATGGGAGAACATTCTTGCACTCTATCCATCTGACAAAGGGCTGATATCCAGAATTTACAAGGAATGTAAACACATTCACAGGAAAACAAACAACCTCATCAAAAAGTGGGCAACGTATGTGAACAGACACTTTTCAAAAGAAGACATTTATGTGGTCAACAAACATGAAAAAAAGCTCATCATCAGTGGTCACTAGAGAAATTAAAATCAAAACCACAATGAGACACCATCTCACGCCAGTTAGAATAGTGGTCATTAAAAAGTCAGGAAACAACAGACACTGGAGAGGACGTGGAAAAATAGGAATGCCTTTACACTGTTGGTGGGAGTGTAAATTAGTTCAATCATTGTGGAAGACAGTGTGGCGATTCCTCAAGGATCTAGAACCAGAAATACTGTTTGACTCAGCAATCCCATTAATGGGTATATACCCAAAGAATTATAAATCATTTTACTATAAAGACACATGCACACGTATGCTTACTGGAACCAACCCAAGTACCCATACACGCGACTGGATAAACAAAATGTGGCACATATACACCATGGAATTCTATGCAGCCTTAAAAAAGGATAAGTTCTTGTCCTTTGAAGGGACACAGATGAAGCTGGAAACCATCATTCTCAGCAAACTAACACAAGAACAGAAAACCAAATACCACATATTGTCACTCATAAGCGGAAGTTGAACAATGAGAACATATGAACACAGGGAGGGAAACATCACATACCAGAGCCTGTCAGGGATTAGGGGAGGGATAGCTATCGAAGAAATACCTAATTGATAAGATGGGTTGATCAGCAGACCACCATGGCACATGTATACCTATTAACAAACCTGCACGTTCTGCACACGTATCCCAGAACGTAAAGTATAATAATAATTTTAAAAAAAGGAAAAAACAGTTCCCATAAAAAAACAAGGTATCATAAGGGAGAATCAATAAACACAAACAAATGAGGATTAACAATTTGAAAATATCAAATAATTTTAAAAAAACCTGAGAATTGTTTATAGTGTTCAAAGAGATAAAGGGAAGGAATAAAAACCACAGAGTAACAGTACAATCTAAGAACAAAACTAAGTGGATGGAAAAAGACCCAAATAAAATAAAAAAATATAATCACTAAAACCCAGTAACGTAGTGAAGAGACCTGTAACACACATGAGAATTAATTACTGAGGCATTTTCTCAAATATTTTTGTATGATTGCTCAAATATTTAAGTCTAATTCTCTCCAACAAGGACTGAAAGCTGATTGAGGGTAGAAAACACATACGGTAAGCCCTCTGTATCTGTGTGTTTTGCATCCATGGATTCAATCAACTGTGGTTTGAAAATATGTGAGAAAAAAACAAAAAAGCATAGTTGAGTTTCTACTAAACATACACAGATTTTTATTCTTAACATTATTCCCCAAATAATATAGTATAGCAAGTATTTACATAGCATTTACACTGTATTAGGTATTATAAGTAATGTAAAGATAATTTATAGTATATGAGAGATTTGGTGTATGCTATACACAAATACCACACTATTTTATAAAACACTTGAGCATCCTTGGACTTTTTTTTTTTTGAGACATAGCCTCACTCTGTCGCCAGGCTGGAGTGCAGTGGCATGATGTCGGCTCACTGTAATCTCTGCCTCCTGGGTTCAAGCAATTCTCCTGCCTCAGTCTCCAGAGTAGCTGGGACTACATGTGGGCATCACCATGTCCAGCTAATTTTTGTATTTTTTAATAGAGATGGAGATCCACAGTGGTCTCAAAACCAATTCACTCATGAATACGGAGGGACAAGTGCCTGGTATTTCTTTCTTTTATTACACTGCAAAGCGTCTAGCATAAACATTAAGCTTACAAACATTCAAATTTTGCAAAATAGAGTTAAGATGTCGACAAGCTAGCATTGATAATGAATTCAAATTCTAGATTTGTAACTGGAAAAGAAGTTTTTTTTTTTTTTTTTTTGAGACGGAGTTTCACTCCTGTTACCCAGGCTGGAGTGCAATGGCGTGATCTCGGCTCACCATAACCTCCGCCTCCTGGGTTCAGGCAATTCTCCTGCCTCAGCCTCCTGAGTAACTGGGACTACAGGCACGTGCCGCCATGCCCAGCTAATTTTTTGTGTTTTTAGTAGAGACGGGGTTTCACCATGTTGGCCTGGATGGTCTCGATCTCTCGGCCTCGTGATCCGACCGCCTCGGCCTCCCAAAGTGCTGGGATTACAGGCTTGAGCCACCGCGCCCGGCCATAAGTTTTTAAAAACACATGCAAGGCTGGGCACAGTGGCTCATGCCTGTAATGTCAGCACTTTGGGAGGCTGAGGCAGCCTGATCACTAGAGGTCAGGAGTTTGAGACCAGCCTGGCCAACATGGTGAAATCCATCTATACTAAGAATACAACACAAAAAAGCAAGGCATCGTGGCAACCGCCTGTAATTCCAGCTACTAAGGAGGATGAGGCATGAGAATCACCTGAGCCCAGGAGGTGGAGGTTGGAGTGAACTGAGGTCATGCCACACATTCCAGCCTCAGTGACAGAGTGAGACTATTTCTAATCAACCAATCAATCAATTTGAGACTGATGTTGCAGATATCTTCTCACAAATGTGCAGGTTACCTAAATACAAAGACCTCTGATGTAAGAAAGCACAAAAATCCCATGCTAAATAACACTTCTAAAGAGTTTTAGAAAGTATAAACAACTTTCAAATCTACTATCTCCCTTGAGTCACTGAACAAATTTCAGAGGTACAGAGGTATATGGTTATTTACACTTTTTATAATGTAGACTCAAAGAAGCTGACGTAACTGTAAAACACCTCACAACTAACTGTATTTTTCCAGTTTAAGTAAAACTCTATCAAACACAACAATAACAACAAAGAAAAGCCAATCACCTCTTTAGATTTCATAACTGATGCCAAAAATTTCAGTCCTGGGCTGTAACAGCACCATTAGTCCTCACTGAGAGAAAAAATAAGTCTTTATTCAATTAGTTTTCCCCTTAACTAACTATTCTTGAGTATCAGTCTATAAGGAGTTTTACTTACTTGTTTCTCTAAGACAGATGTCCTCTCCATTTCTGCATGCTTTATCATATTTCGCATGTATTCCAATTGTTTTTCTAGTAGATTGCATTTATTTTCTGCAGCTAACAACTGAGATGTCAGTTCTAAGAAGAACAGAAAAGAAAAGCAGAAGTCAACTCACGAATAAAATAGTTTTAACTGTTAACAGGAATTGAATCTATGGTATACACCAAAACACCTTCCACACACCTAAAAGCCTTTTCAGATTACCTAAATCATTCTCTTTCTACACGCTAGTCAGATCAGCCTTGCATTCAGTAAGTAAATACAAGGTATGATAACAGCACTTGCTCCTCAAAATGCACCCAAATACAATGCAGTTTTGTAGTACCTGAAGATACCACTAGAAAACACTAATGTAGTATTTTTTTTTTAGAATACTTAATACTTCACAACACTTATTTTGACAGAATTTAATTTTCTTCATAATTAAACAAACCTTGATTGTGCTTTGATTCCTCATTCTTTGAATTCTCCCTTTCCTGTATCTGTTCATTCAGTACTTTCTTGTATTCAATTGTTTCTCTAGATAAGGTTTTCACACTTTCTTCTGCCTGAATCCTCTCAAGTTCCAAGCGACGAATCTTATCTTGAAGATTCTTAAGAGCAGAAAATATGGCTGCCAAATAAAACACAAACATGAATAATACAATAGCATATATAGACAAAGTATATTTAAAAAGAATAAACTCATCTAAATAAAAAATAAACTGATGGGTGAGTCTAGTGGAGGATTACTCTTGGGAGAACAATAAAATGTTAATTATCTCATATTTGTTTTTTAAAAAATCAATTTAAAGACACTGAGTATTTGAAATGTTCTAGTTACTCAAGTAAAAAAACCCTTATTATGATAAAAAAAAATTTCAAAGACTTTTGTAAAGTGCCAAAAAATTTAGCCAGTCATACAAAGTTCACATAACAGTCCTGAAGTACATTACTATCTTAATCATTTCATTTTATTCATAAGAGCACCTGTAAAATCCAACTGTTAAAAACAGTCAAGCACAAAAAAATACTATTTTCAAAATCTCCATTTTAAGTGCATTCTAACCCCCCCCCTTAAATTTGATTATAAAATTATGTTAACTGCAGTATTGTAGAAGACAGAGAAAAACACACTGAAAAATAACCAATAATCCCATTATCCAGAGGTAATGACTGGTCATTTGGTTCTTTAAATTTTTTTCTGTATGTGTAAAATAAATTGAGACAGAATACATGTAGGTTTTTTTCACTTTGGCATTATTGTATAGTGAGAATTCCCTCATGTTATCAGTCTTAAAAGATTTTCTAATAGTAATTAAAAACTAAAAAAAAAATCAAGTTACTGGGTCAAAGAACATTCATAGCCATTCTAATGAGAAAAATACACTACTTCCGGTGATTTCCCATTTCCACTAAAGTATAAATCTTTTCGTATACATTACTGGCCGATTTTTTCCCTTTCATGAATTTCCTTTGGCCATTTTTCTATGGGAAAAAGTTTTCTTCATTTAATTATCTGCCTTTAATTCTAGTTTTGATGTATAGATGTTATGATTTTTTAAAGCAGTATATCTAACATTGTTTCCCATCATGTTTTCTTTCTTGATATACTTAGAAAGTTCTCTCAAACTCAAGATCAGATAAACATTGTATTTTTATTTATACTTATCATTTCATATGTTTACATTTAATTCGTTAAGTCATAGGAAAAGTATTTTTGAAGGAAATAAAATCTTGAAATGTCAAATTGATCATATACTAAAATCACAAATGTATATATTAGATACTATAATTCTTTGTTACATACATACCCTCAGACAGTTTCAGATCTTTCTTTTATTCTGGATTCCTTAATAATATTAGGGAATTACTGCCAGTATTTCAATTATTAAAACTTCATAAACACTGATTCTGCCAGTCACCTATATCAAATAAATCTTAAAATGTTTCCAAACTATTCTTGCCAACTAACTATTCAGAATCATTTTGCCTAAGTACTAATTTAAACTATACACTAGATTGGGGAGCTGTTATCTTTTAAGAATTGAGTCCTCTTATTCCACACAAAGTACTCTTGTCCATTTATTAACCATAATTCATTCCTTTTCCAAATTTTTTAGTGCCTAGGATATCACAGGCCTCAAATAAGACACCATTTTATTGTAGTCAGCTTATTCTTGCTGGTATGCAATGAGACTACAATCTAACTGGAAAAATACAAACATGAAACACACATACAAACAAATAGAAACCTGAAAAATCAACTGAAAAGATAGAAAGAACTAAAAGAGAAGTCTAGATATAAGATTAATGCTAAAGGGAACAATTCTTTTATATACCTGCAATCATCAGATAAATATAATAAAAAAATAAAATTTTAAATGTCCTTTAATGTTGAGTTTTTTTTAACCTCTTCTAAACCAGAGGCAAATTTACTAAACACTTTGCAATATCAAACACTTTTTGCATTCCTTCATTAAATTATACCCAAAAGTACACAATTTTGCTAATATTTTATTTCTACATCTATATTTATTATTGAAACTGGCTGGAACATTTCATTTTTGTTCTTTATGTCAGCAACTGTAGTATCACAGGGATATGCTAGGTTAACAAAAAGACCCAAGGTGGGGTGTGCGCTTTCCTCTTATGTATTCTTGAATGGCTTATATATCCCTGTTTAAATGTGTAATGTTTTATAGTTTTATCAAAAAATTATTGAATAAGTGCAGAGAATAATTTAGAAAACACGATCGAAAAGGAAAAAAAATTACACCCATAATCTTACCATCTAGGTGTAGTAATTACTAAGACTATTAAAATCCTTTAGATCTTAAAAATGCTTTCATATGTAAGATTTCCCTTTGTTCCCTATGTCATATATTTACATATAAGCACACTTTAAGTGCAATTTATAATATTAAGCGTTTTCACTAACACTGTAATAGCTCTCATTATGTATTCAAGTCTTCACGTATGCACCTCAGTGAGCACATAAAATTGGGTTGGATTGACTTGTCAGAGGTAACTTTTTTTTTTAATCCACAGTCTCTTTCCAAGACCATGGGCTGCAGTGTTCCAGTTCTGCTTTAACAACTCTCATTATGCCCAGCTTTTCAAAGAAGTATTCCAGAACTTGCCTCACGAGGGCCTAGAGCTTTGTTCTCCAGTCCCTACCCACATTTAAAATTTTATAATCTCTGCTACTGTACCCCAACACTTAAAAGGCTTATACCTAATGCCAAGACTCCTAATACTGTCCCTAAAGTTTTTGCCTTTAGTTCCATCCTTACTGTCCTAGCTTGAAACTTGTTTTATTTCTGTACTTAGGTATTTTTCCTTCTCACTTTTAAACTAGGTATTATTTGCTTTTATTTATTATTACATGAAGCTGCTATTTGTCTATTCTGTTTGACAGTAGTGCTGTCTTCCATTCTTTTTATTTGAATGGTAGTTAAGTCTCTTTGTCGGCTATTTATTTTTTATGTTTCATTTTATTTCAGGTTTTACTTAAAAAGCATTTATTGGCTTTTGAGGTGACATTATCACATTTGTCATACCTGATTCATTTCATATTTTTCATTATATATTTCCTAATTTTGTTTCCTTGAATTTTTCTTATATTTTGCTATATGAAGTATAGCATATATCTTTGGAACTGTTTGCCTGACTTACCTACCTCTTGTTCTCGGAGTTTCCCCTTACCTCACCAGGCTATACCTACAACTTTATTACCCTTTGACAAATCTGGCTAATTGATCCACAAGGGACAACACTGAGGCCTAGACAATGTTTGTCTTCTTGGGACTTTTGTCCGAAACATCAAATCCAGATCTGGTTCAACTAAAATAAAAATTGTTAATAATGTTTCCTGCTAGGCAGAAAAAGCTGGTTTGTAGCTAGAAAAAATGAAGTTAGTTACAAGCCAAAAAAAAAAAAAAAAAAAGATGGACAAAGAACCAGCCATGTTCAAGTCTCTAATGTTCTTCAAGTCCACCTGGATCTATTTATTGCTTGGGACGTTTCTGCCATTAACATAAACACAGGTTAGTCGTAGATTAAGAGCAGGGAGAAACCCAGATCCATAGTATGCATTTTGATTTCTCCAATATTGCTGTCTTGGTAGTTCTCCACCTTTCTGACTTTTCCTACTTTTTAGTTTACTGTTTAAATGGTGGTATTTTCCAAAGCTCTTTTCTCTCTCTGCTTTCTTTTTCTGGAGAACCCCTCTATACTCATGGGCTTCATCCACTACTGTATCCTTGATGATGCCTGAGTTCATCAGTGCAGCATTCTCTACTACACTTCAGACTTTTCACTTGCTTATTATTCATCTCCATCTAACTCATAGGCATCTCAAATTTGATACAGACAAAATTATATCATCAAGTATGCTTTTTTCTGTGATCTGTCTTAATCACACCACTAATCATCTACACTAGAAATCTCAGACTCAAAGATTTCTCTACCTTCCTCATTCCCACAACAAAATATACATAAATCTTATCTTAGTCTCCTGTTCGGTCTTGCTGTTTCAGTTTAGAGTTACTTCTGCTGTAAACCTCAGTCCAACAAACATACAGACCACATACGATGTGCGAAGCACTCTGCAAGGTGAAGGAGATAATATAATGATAATGAAGGCAGCCTTTACCCTCAAGGAGCTATCATCTAGATTCTGGAACAGATGCTGCTATCTACATTTTTCTCACATCTGGAAAAAAAGTAGTTACATGAACAAAATACTATTCCGGACATACTCATATCCTTAATTATAGTGGTTCTCAAAATGTGGGGCATAGGCACATTGCGGGCAGCACTCATGAGGCCTTTCCCAGGGTCTGTGAGGTCACCACTGCTTTTATAATACTACTAATATTAAAACTTTGCTTTTTCATTGTGTTGAAGTTTGCCAATGATGGTGCAAAAGCATTGTTGGGTAAAATTCCTAATTTTAGCTCAAATCAAGGTAGTAATTATTAAACTATAAATTATTAAACTGTATTCTTCACTTCAGGCATTGTCATAAATTCCCAGTAAGAAAAAACTAAGCCACAATTGTCCTTGATGAAGCAATAAAAATCTTATCAGGTTCATAAACCTTTCACATGCTGTACTCTTGATGAAATTTTCTTCTTACAGAACTGTACTCATTCTTTAAAGCTCAGATTATTATTTTGTTCTTCCTCTGAGAGGTTTTCCTCTCTTCTAACCTCCCCAACACACACTTATCCCTGTCCCCGGCAAATGTCTTTTCAGAACTCTCTTGGTATTTGTTCATATCTCACAGCCTTTACTTTTTTTCTGGGTGAGAAGGAGATGGTGACTTCTGTGTTTTCCCTTCCCATTTGGAAAGAAAGTATCGTTGGATTAAAACACACACTATAAAAGCATAGTGGATTGTAATGACCATCCTGGGACACTGCTTAAACAGTTCACACCACCATGTTCTAAAGACATAAAAGCTTATTTACTGTCTTGAAGGTTACTTTTTATCTTGTTTATTTCTCCTCTCCATCTCCTCTTCTCCCACTTCTCTTTTATTTCTTAAGACCACTGATGTTGCACTCAAGCAGAATTTAGCTGTATTAGTAACATGCTGTGCTAAAAATTTTGACTCTGTGAATATATCTGCCTTCTTAATTTTTCTTATTCTTGTTAGTAATTTGTCATTTTTCGAGCTTTTTAAAAATTTCATGAGTGTAAAGACCAGAACTAGATACAATATTGTATCTAGTCCACGGATTAATATCTAATTGTTAGATTTTGTGTTTCTGTTAGAACTTTGTTAAATGGATATTTTGCTTTGTGCTTATTTTTTAATAAGAAATTTACTGAAACTGATTTTTGCTCTACTGTGGGCTTCAGTTATTTTATTATTATTTTTTGCTTTTTAAAATCTATATTGTTTGTCATGCAACTTAATTTTCTTAAATTGCCAACCTGCTATACTCTCATGTATAGAACATTATAAATTGCTTTAATCATTAATTAAATTAAAATTTTCATTATCATTGAGACACAGTAACTTATAATAAAGAGGCTTCTAGTTTAGTGATTATAGAGTACTGAAATTCTTAAAAGACATCACACTATTTAGTTACATTTATTTCAACAAACACTTCCCAGCACCCATTATAGGTTAGGATTTAAACTGGTATTTGGATATCGTCACCTACTTGGTATGTTACCGTGCGATCAGTAAAGTTTACAAAACAGTTTCATTCTGAGATTTTTAGGATACTTACAATATACATCCCAGTTGAAATAAAAAAGTTCCTCAACTAATATACAACTGCCTGTTTAGCATATGGTGCCAAAAATAATTTCTTTTACCTAGAGAATCATTGACACATATAACTGTTGCAATATTAGTGATTAAACACAACTTTTTAAAAAAGGAAATGCTGTAGCATCCCAAATAAAGCAGACATTTCATTTAAACTTCACACATACGCAAAGTATAAAGTAGGTATATTTTTAAAAATACAGATGAAGAAACATCAAAAAGATTAACAAATTCAACATAAGAACCATCTTTTCATTACCTGAGTGGGCCCAATCTGAGAACATGACCAGAAAATTTTCTCCAGCTGTGGCTAGAGAAATGTAACAGCAAAAGTCAGAGATTTGAAACACAAAGAGACTCTACCTACTGTTACTGTAGGAGACCATAAGAAAAACATGAAGGAACAAGGACAGTTTCCAGGAGCAAAGACTGTCCTCAAGTAAGAGTATGCAAGGCAAAAGAATCTCAGTCCTGCAATGACAAGGAACTGAATTTCGCTAAGAATCTTAATGAGCTTGGAAGCAGGTCTTTCCCGGAGCCTCTAGTAAAGAACAGAACCCCAGACAACATCTTGATTTCAGTCTTGTAAGGCTCTAAACAGAGGACCCAGATGAGCCTACACAGATTTCTGACCCACAAAAAACTGAGATGAAAAATATGTGGTATTGAAAGCTAAATTCATGGCAATCTGTTAAGGCAACAAGAAAATTAATACATATGGCAGGTTCCAGAACAAACATATTTCAAAGTAGCCAGAAAAAAGGATGGGAAAGGTAAAAACAGAAGACATGTTAAGGATGAAGCTGGTGAGGCAGATGGGGTCTAGGTTATGAAAAATTAGGAATTTATTATGTCAGCCATGAAGAGATGCTAAAACTTTAATTCTGAGGAAGCGATGCGGAGGAGAAAATGGGCAAGGAGATTAATGAGGAATGTATTATCAACATGTGGGTGACAGATGATGAAAGCCTAAACCAAAGCAATGAGAACATAAGAAGGCAAAAGAACCAGTAGACTTTTGGTACATTTCAGAAGCCAAAAAAAGGTGTTTATTCCAGACTAGTAGTGGAGATGACAGAGCAGTCATTGATGACTAAAAAGTATTTTAGCATCAGTAATTTGGTGGATGATGATGTTTAACAGTCAATATAAGGAATACAAGAAGAGCATAATATTTTGTGGGGGCTAAAAACTGAAAGCAAAGGGGAAACACATTTTCCTTTAATTGCAAAATAATACAGGACAAAATTAAGAAATTTTAAAGCAGCAAGTAAACACAAGTAACATCTATTTTGTTAGGCTCGATTACCTCTGCTGTTGCTTTCTGGATAGGCAAGTGTAGGCTTACTTGGGGAGCGTCGTAGATCACTATTAAGGAAAGGCTTATCCGATGGATACACAACATACGGAGATGAAGAATGCCGAACCATACTTCCATTAGACCTTGATGGTTCAGCTAAGATGTTCTGAAAAATAAAGACACAAATTACCTTTCAAAAGTGTGAACCACAAATAGCAGATTTAAACCACAAATATTTATGACTGAGAATTAGACTGTCCATATAGACAACAGAAAAAAATCCACTGACTATAAACAACAGAATTCAACCATTATTTATTTTAAAGAAATACAACTTTTAAAGTGTTTCATATTAAAGGTAGACACTATAGAAAGGAAATAATGTTCACACAACTTGAATACAAATGCTGTGCAGAAATACTTAAATGATACAATGAATGTAAATGCAGTAGTTAAAAATATGTACTGTGAAATATACATTCAGAAAAATAAATACATAATTTTACAGGACCAGAAACTGCTACAAATGACTGATTACTTCATTCCCCATCAACAAAATACTACTTAAATATTTACAGTACCAGAAAGAAAATAAGGCACTGTCCTTGCCTCAAATAATTACATTTAATTAAGAAAAAAGAAAATTATTAGAAAACATTAAGGCCCATCAAACACTCAAATACAAAACTTTATTTCCACAGTATATCATTCTGTCATGAATGAGATTCTATTAAATTTAGGATTCCAAATAATAATTTCAACCCAGGGAATGCTAACTGCAGAGTTTCATTTGTTGTAGGTGACTTCATATTGACAGATGGACCTAGACTGGGGGATGTATATAAGAAGCTGAGGGCTAAGGTGGAAGATAGTAACTGCCAGCTGTTCAAAATTTTCAGCATCCATTTTCCTTCCTCAAAAGGCCACAGCAAATTGTTTCTCAATTCTTACCTTTACAAAGTATCAGAATAATCTGTGTTCATTAAAGTACAAGAGCACAAAACAATCTCCTTAAACAAAGGCTATCAAAATACCTGCACTGTATTTAAATCTTATTTAAAATTAAAGCTTTTACTTCCATGTTAAAAATTATGCAAATTTCCAGTTTATTTTAAAAAGCAAATATAAAACATTTTCTATTTATGTAAATATAAAACACACTATGGCTATGAAAATCAAAAGTGGAGACAAAAAGCTTAGCAGAGGAGAGACAAGTCTTAAAAGTGGTACTCAAATAAGTGCTAAGTCTACTATAGTGTGTTCATATACCACAAAGACTAATATTTGTCATTTTCCAAACTTAATGGCAAATTGGTATCTGGTTTTAGAGGTAACTGGAAAATAGGATGAGTTTTCAATTCTTTATAATGTGGTCAAAGGTCTTGCAAAGCATCCTGAATTATTGCATAGCTTAATTTAAATATGTCATAGAGAACCTCAGGTCTTCATTGGTCATTTACAACCCACGAGAATCCTATCTAACATTCAAAAACATCAAGTGACTTGCTGACCATCCTCTGCCCAGTAGGGAATAACATTAATTATGTGATTGGCTGAATCATAAACTAGTTCCAAAACAGAACTACCTCTGCTCTACATTTTATGTTAGTGCACTTGCCCTTTACTTGCTATTTTATATCACCCCTCATGACATATACATGTTTTATTATCTGTATGTCCTGCGGTGTAACAAAAAATGTATTTTATCTTTTGTCCTTGGTTTCAGATACAGATTCAAAAACTCCTAGAATTTCTTAAGTGATAGGGGTGTCCTTGTTAGGCTGATGAGGGGACTCAAGGTACAGGCCCCTAGGATAGCTTCAGGTTTGAAGGTATCTTCTGGGAAGTGGCTGCCAGAAAACCCAACCACTAGATTATAATGAGCTACAAAGTTCATCCAGGAGTGGTGGCTCTTGCCTGTAATCCCAGCACTCTGGGAGGGTGAGGTGGACGGATCACTTGAGGTTGGTCTACAATTCGAGACCAGCCTGGCCAACATGGTGAAACTCTATCTCTGCCTAAAATACAAAAAAATCAGCTGAGTGTGGTGGTGTGCCTTGTAATACCAGCTACTCAGGAAGCCAAGGCAGGAGAATCGTTTGAACCCAGGTGGTGGAGCGAGAGTGCACCACTGCACTACAGCCAAGGGGACAGTGACACACTGCCTGGCGAGGTGGAGTGCGGGGGGGTGGGAGGGGGAAGGAAGAGTTACAAATTTCAGCCCTACACCCTGACCTCAAGGGAGGTAAGAAGCTGAGACTGAGCCCAATGACCAGTCAATAATTTACTCAATTATGTATATATGTAATGAAATCTCAATAAAAACTCTTTAAAGAGTTTTTGGGAGCTTCTGGATTGTTGAACATACTGATATGCCAGAAAGGTGCTGCCCCACAGAGGGTACAGAAACCCTTTCACACCTTGCGCTATGTCTCCTCCATCTGGCTGTTCCCGAGTTGTGTCCTTTATAAAATTGAAATTCCTTAAGTATAGTCTTTCCTGAGTACTGTGAGCTGTTCTTGGAAAGCTGCAGAAATCCCTTAATTTTTAGTTAGCTTGGCAGAAATGGAGATGCTCTGGGAACACTCAGGACTTTGACTGACTTGGGGGTGAGCAGTCGTGTGAAATTGAGCCCCTTAATGTATGAGTGTCTCAGCTTTATCTGGGTAGTGTCAAAATTAAAATAATTGTAGGACACCCAGTTGGTGTAGGATTTTTGCTGGAGAAACTCTAACAAACAAACTTTATTCTACTCAATAAATCTGCTGAATATTAATTACACATTTCCTCCCCAAAACAGGAAACTGAATATTATTTATAAAAGATTGTCCTTTTCAACCAAGTTACTATAATGCCTTAAGAGATCACCAAAAGCCTTTAGGCTTCTTTATGTTTAACAAATAGCACAAATATCATAGGAAGGCTGTGTACAAAGGAGTCCAAGTCTAACTCCCAATCCACTACTCTTTCCATAACTCTAAGCACTCAGTAAAAATTATTCCACCAAAATATGATTGTAGGAGAAACTTTCAGGATTAAAGGAAAAATGTTTAACCTGATCACTATCTTTTCTGCAGCCTTTAGTTGTTAGGGCAAATATCTCATTTAGGAACACAAAATTCAAGTATTTATTTAACATCTTTTTATGACACTGTGTGAAGTATGAAGCATAATTTAAAAATGCATATAATTTGCTGTCTTTATAAGTGGAACATGCAACACAGCTGCAAGGTATTAGATTAAATACAAATACAAAAGAGTAGGTGGGAACTGCTAAACTTGATGTAATAGAGGCTAAGCGTAAATTAAATTCAGATGCATTCAACAGAACATTGCTTCTTATCAGTGTGGTAAAGGAAGGTCTTTATTAGTGTTGAAATCGATACTGGGTCTTACAGATTGATATGTATTCTGATAGGCAAACTAGAAACGGGTATGAAAAGCAATTGTTTCCATGTTAATGAATACATTAGCTTAGTGGAAAAAAAGAGTTTGTGTACACAAGTGGAATGAAATAAAATTGGGGAAGTCAAGGTCCAGTGATGGAAGAATGTGATGTAGAGCTCTGAGCAGTGCAATCAATGCAATAGTTTCCAAGTTTCATGTTTGAAACTAAACAAAGTTTCATGTTTCATAGTTTCAATATCCTAAACGTATCAGTTATACCAAAAGTAAAAATCAATATGATCAACAAATATAAAAAAGCATTCAATAAAATGCAACATCCAGCCATTATTTAAAAACAAAAAAAAAAAGAAAAACTATTTCCTTACAATAATATGAAGTTTTATTAAAAAAAACATGGCCAACATACTTAATGGTGCAACACCTGAAATATTCCTCTTAAAATAGGGAACAAGACAAAGATATCTACATCAATTCTAGTCAACACTGTACTTCATTTCCTAGTCTGCACACTAAGATAAAAAAAGAATAAGATATTAAGGTTGAAAAGGAAAAATCCCAATTTTAGATTATGACCATCTAAACAGAAAAAAATTCTCAATTATGAGAATTAAGATTGCTGAATAAAATAGACTCATAAGAGTCAGTAATTTTATATATTAGAAAATGCAACTTACGAAAATATGTATCAATTAAAAACTAGAAATAAAATGAACAAATAACATACAAGACATGAAAGTAAACACGTACTGAAAAATGTTAAAATTCTAAATAAATGGAGTAACATAACATTCAGACAGAAGGGTCAATATCCTAAACATACCAATTACACCCAAATTAAGCTAGAAATTCAATAAAATATCAATCAAAATTCCAATAGCAGGTTCTAGAATTTCTACTGAAAAAAAGCAAAGGACTGATTAATACCTAATATTTATCTTGAGCAACAAGGAAGGTGACTGACCCTCCCATCTCTGAGTGATTCTTAGGAGAATCACTAAGACAGTGGGTGTCTAAGCAGGAGAGACAAATACAACAAAGAAACAGTCGGCTAACACACCCATACACATATGGAAATGAGTATATTGGAAAACATTGGGGAAAGGATAAGTTTCCAACAAGTAGTGTGGGGACAATTGTGTATTTTAAGTAAAACCATTAAACTGAATCCCTATCTCACAGCATACAAATTAATTCCAAGTAAATTAAGGACATAAAAGGCTCCAACTTTAAAATATATAGGGAAAAAATATAGAGTACAACCAAGGCCTTGGAGAAAAGAAGAATTTCTTAAACAGAAATCACCATAAAAAGACTAACACATTTTATATTAAAAGTAACAAAAACTATTAAAAGGTATCAAAGACAAGTCAGAACTGTCTTAACAGATAACATCACAATATGTTAAAAAATGCCTATAAATCAATTAATAATAGGCAACCCAATTGAAAAACAGGCAAAAGACATGAATAGGTATTTCACAGAAGAAAACATACACAAGACTAGTAAATGTGTGAAAAAAACAGGGTGCATCTTCACCAATGATGAGAGGAGCACAAATCAGGAAAAGGATACCACTTCACACACAAAGCAAAAATTTACAAGTGGGACAATACCATCCATTTAAGAAGACATCGAATAAAGAGGACTGCTGGTATAATCACTTGGTAACAACAATTTAGTATGACTGAGTAAAGCTGAAGACGCACATACTCTGTGAACCAGATAATTCACTCAGCTGTATATGCTCAACTGTTTTCACTCCCTCCTTTCTTGAAAATGATATGGACTGACCCACAGTACATATACCATGACCGACTACTGAGTTGTAATCCAGAGCCCAGCCTATGGTTTGGGGGAAAAAAAAAAAAATCATTGCTCTACAGTTGCCGCTTGCAAACTTTTTCCCTCAGGACCCCTTTATACTCTAAAAAAATTTAGTGAAAAGAATGGCACTATTTTACTTTTCTGCTAATCTCTTTAATGTTTGGCTTAAAATAAGGATTCTCTTATCTAGTTCTATATTTGCTCTGTTGGATATATTATTTTGCTTGATGTATTAAAGAAAATCTAGTCTACCACAAACGTGGTCATTACACAAGGATCTCGTAGACTGAGTCTTGGAGATCTCCAAGGATTGTGAGACCATACTTTGAGAACTGCACTGGAGAGAAACATTTGCCACGTACAGCATATAAGAATGAGAACAAGATTGTTTACAGTATCTGGCAAATAAATAACAAAACCCATTAACTCCAAAGCCCATCAAGATACTGTCATTTACTAGCTAGACAACTTTGACTCAACCTCTCTGCCTCGTTTTGCTCATGTGAAAAAGGAAATATTAATGCCAATCTCAGAAGGTTATTGTGAGGATTAAATGAGTTAACGTATGATAAGGGCTTAAAGTGTCTTTAAGGACTATGCCTGCCAGATAGTCCTATATAAATACCATGTATTATAATCTTGAAATGTGTAGTGGGGGCCGGGCATGGTGGCTCATGCCTGTAATTCCAGCACTTTGGAAGGCCAAGGTAGCCGGTTCACAAGGTCAGGAGTTCGAGACCAGCCTGACAACAGGGTGAAACTCCATCTCTACTAAATATACAAAAATTAGCCAGGCATGATTGGCACATGCCTGTAATCACAGCTACTCAGGAGGCTGAGGCAGGAGAATCACTTAAACCCGGGAGGCAGAGATCGCACTGAGCTGAGATCACGCCATTGCACTCCAGCCTGGGCAACAGAGCAAGACTCTGTCTCAAAAAAAAAAAAAAAAAAAAAAAAAAAGTGTAGTCAGTGGGTGTGGTTAGGAAAAAGAAGAAAACAAAAAGGAACATCGAGGTATTCATTTTATTATTCTCAAAAAGTAAATCTTATATTTAATATTATAAAATGTATAAGGCAGCCATAAAACATTTTTAACGGAAATTAATATGGAGCTACTGTACAGCTTGGTTGAAGGACTTAACCAAAAAGTCAGAGAAACAAACGAAGAGATTAGCTCATTAAGTCCAAAGTGACAGGGTGTTTTCACCAGGGTTGTGAAAACATTACAAGGCTGACATGAAAGACACTCTTGTGTTTCAACACTTTGCTGCCCATACTATATGGAATTAATTTCATTATGCCCAATCATAGTTGCTTTCCTGCCTTTTCCATGAGTTGAGTTTATCAACTCAAGAGCAATCACTCAATAAATGTTACCTAGACCTAACTGAAACCTATTGCCCTACTTCCACATCATTCGAGATTTACACAGTCCCTACTTCCTAAAGATGGTTATTTATGAATCTACTTGTTAAAAAATCCTTGCCTATAAAGCATCTCGATGTACTTATAACTAGCTCCGTGTAGGTTTATCCATGTCAAAAACAGTTGAATATAACAGTTGTTAATTTTCACAACCCTGAAACCTGAATATAAGTTGCCTTCTCAGTTCATGGTATAGTTTTAACAAGTTTTCTTTCTTTTTTTTTTAAATGCTGCCTTATGTTAAGATCAGCTGTTTGTTAAGCTAAGTGCTTTTCCAATGCTGTTGGAAATGGCAGCCTTATTTCTGACAGGACATCTAAGCAGGACCTTTTATTATGCACCAAGAAAACAAAGTTAGTCATTTTTTTTTTGAGAAACGGTAACTTCCAAATTAGACATTTTGATGTAGCAGACTGACTTATGGTTGTTATACTTTGATTTGTAGAGGATCCTAGATGTTCTTAGTGTACCCCTGATACTTAGAATGTAATTAAAGCTGAGCTTAGCGGAAAAAAAATTTGCTTTCCTACTAAACAGTCTTTGGAATTTCTGTCAATGATACAGTAAGTACTAAGAACTGACTATATCCCAGTGCTAATGCCCAGGTAGGAGGCCTTGGCATCATGCAGCTCAATTAAACATTTATTTAATATTTTATTTTATAGAGACAGGGTCACTCTGTCACCCAGGCTGGAGAGCAGTGGCACTATCATAGCTCACCGCAGCCTCAAACTCCCTGGGCTCAAGTGATCCTCCCACCTTAGCCTCCCTAGTAGTTGGTATTACAGACATGAGCCATGGCACCCAGACTCAATTCAACATTTATGAGTATTCCTTATTCAGTCTCCAAGTGCTTAACTTTTGAAAGCAGTAAAAAGTCCTGTTCTCCCAAATTTAATCACATGTCCTATAAAATCTCATTCATCTTCCACGTGCTGACACTTCTAATAGTTTATCTTACTTTTTTCTTTTACTGACCTAATCCTGAATAACCTTCAATTGTTGCTTTCATTACTTCTCTTAACTTCTCCAGACCTCTCCGCAAACTTCTAATCCCCATTCTGCTCAAACACCGTAATACTTCTGGTCCCATTATTACAAATTCTAACAAATCTCTGAAAGCTGAAACTGACTTCTCCAAGGTGGTAAAGCTTTCTTAGGGTTTCTCACTCTTTCCCCCTTAGATTCTACAAAATATCTTTGTCCTGATATTCTACTAGCTGCTTCACTCACCATCCCTTTTTTTTTTTTTCCACTTTTTTCCCTATGTTTCCAATTTATCTCATCCAACTCTACCTCCATATTACTCCTCATTCCAAATGATCTCAAGTTTCCTGAAAGCACCTACTATCCTGGAACATACTCCAAAATTCCTGCAGTGCCGTTTTCTCCTTCCTCTACTCTTGGCACAAGCAATTACAATTCCTTCGACACGCATTTAGCTTCATCTTCCCTTCTAGGAAACCTCTAACCTACCCAAGCACTGCTAATCACTCCCCTCTAAATTACTTTAGTTCTACCGTATGGCGCAGTAATCACCTAATGACGTGCAGTTGCTCTTCAGTGGTTTGCGTCCTCAAAGCAGGGTTTCTACCCTATTCATTTGGACTCTCAGCCCAGGCAAGGGCTCCAACTTTGGCTTTGTCACATTTACTTCCTATCTCTTCCTTAGGTCGCGGTTTTTAAAAACCTAAACGTTCACTCCAATATGACAAATGCCAATGACGAAACTGGCTAGTGACCTTTCAGGAGGCAAAACTGCTATTTAAATTCAATCCCCCGTCGCCTCTCCAAAACTGCATTTCCACATTAGTCCTAGCAATTCTGGGTGGTGGCAAGAGCGAGCTCCGGCTACGAGGCTCACACAACAAAGTTAATGAGAGGATGAGAGTGGGAGGCACTGCAGCCATAAGAAACAGCATAAGCAATGGCTAGTAAGCGCTCGAGAGACGGCGGACCACTACTCGGTAGCTGTCTGTTAAACACACTGGCGCGTTTCCTAGAGGGGCTGCTGAAGCCACGTGACCAAAGGAACTACGATTTCGCAAGCCAGGGAGTGGGCAGTTGTCCCAGACAAGCCTTGGGAATGTTAGGCAACCGACGTTGCTAGGCCGAAAGGTGAATGAGGGATGGGGAACAGACATGAGCCAGCCCAGTTTCACTGGAAGCCAGAGGGTGCAGCCTCGACAAAGGAACAGAGAATGGAAACTTGGGGAGCACGGGGCAATCCAGAATGGGGTCAGAAGCTGGACTGACAGCGCCCTAAAACGTGAGGAAACTCAGAGGCGCTCAGGGCCGACGTGGGGCCCACTCGCGCCAACTCCTTACCGAGAACTGAGAACCAGAAGCCGCAGAGACCGACGCCGCCGCCATGTTTCAGCCTGCCCAGGGGTTCTCGTGGTCTTCTTCAAGACTCGGGAGCCGCCCACCAGGGGCGACCCTAAGCTAAACCCCTGATGGAAAAGGGGAAGGGTGCTGGCGCTGGTTTTGGAAACCCCTGCCACAGAGACGCCTACGCTCACGGAGCACACAGAACGGCCAACACGTCCTAACGGACGTCTTCCCTAGCCAATCAAAACAGCAGACGTCTTCCGGTAGTAGGAGAGAATCCGCCTTTTCCCCCGTGACGTCACAAGGTAGCGCGTAGCGGAGCCCGCTGGGGGCCGACAACGCAGCGGGTTACTGGCCGGCTCTGCGGGGATTCTGTGGAGGGGCGGGCCTCCTCCAGTAAGAAGCGTGGGTGAGTCTTGTCGCCAGTGGCAACCGAACGGAATAATGGAGATAGAACAAAAGCGAAGGCGAAGTTCAAGCACTCCCCGAGTTCCCTCGGATTACACGCTGGAGGGAGCGTGAGTTTGCCTCGGGGACGCCTCTCCAGGTGAAGTACTTACCTTTCGGCCAATAACAAATAGGATGAGGAGGGACTTAATGACTTAGTCCAATAGAAGGCAAGGGAAAAAAGAGTTGCGGCACAGAGCGAGCCTTTCGCGAACATTTGCCCAATTGGATTGAGGCGCTCTCACTCAAACCTGGGACTGGCTGTTAATAGCCGCGACCGCAGACCTTTGGGCGGGGCAGGTTCAAAGCGGATTTCGCGGGTTGAGAGCACCCGGCTGTCATTGGCCAGCGACTTCCTCCCTTTGTGGATGCTCCCTGCGTCGCGGAAGTTGGGAGTTGGGAGGAGCCACCGAGTGACGCGGTGGCCTCCAGAGCCAATCAGGCATGGGGAAGGGAAGCCGAGAAGGAAGCGGATCCGCGGCCGCGCCGCTAAACAGCAACCAACTCTCCGCTTCGTCTCCCTCCGCCGCTATCGGAGCCTAAGCGGGAGCGGCTGGCACGGCGTCACTGGGTGGGCTGGGGCGGAAGTGGAGGCGGAGGGAGACGGTGGCGTCGTCCGCGGGGCCCTGGGCTCTCACGGCGAGGCTCTGGTGGGCGCGAGGCAGGGGGAGGGGGAGGAGGAGGAGGAGCCGGAGCCCGCGGCCCGGGCGGCGGCAGCGGCTCTCGAGTTCTCCGTAGGGCCCCGCCTCGGAGCGGGCGGCGGCGGAGGAGGAGACTGAGGAGCAGGATGGCGGCCTCGGCCCTGTACGCTTGCACCAAGTGTACCCAGCGCTATCCCTTCGAGGAGCTCTCCCAGGGCCAGCAGCTCTGCAAGGTCCGTGGGCTCCGGGAGGCGGGCGGGATGGGTATCCTCCGCTGTAGTCTGATGGGGGCCGGGTGGCCGCTGCGCTGCAGCCCCTCTCTCTTCGCCGGCGCCTCAGGGGTTTGGGAGTCTGGAGCCCTCGCCTCCCCACTGGGGAACCCCTTTTTCCGGGGGCTTGAGCATCAGTTGGGAACGGTCCCTGAGAGGGAGGCAGAATCGTGTCCTCTTCCAGGCGGCCCAGGACGGTGCCGGGCCCCGTCAGCGTCCGGGGGTCTCGGGTGGGGTTGAGTGAGGCAGCCACCTGTCTATGCCGCAGAGACCCTGGGGTGGAGATGTTTTCATCTCGGTTTTCTGCCTGGTCTGTCCTCTTCTTCCACCAGGAGGCAGGGGACGGTTTTTGCACTTTCTTGCTAGGAACCCGAAGCCGCAAACCTGATGGCATCCTTCTTCCCTGTCCAGGAAAGCGAAGCGACTGGTTTGGGAACAGAATGCTCTATGATTTGGAGCTCCTCCCATCCCATTAAAGCCAGGATGCTGTCTGTGAGCAACGGTGCAAAATAATAAGTAGTTTCACATTTAACCAATTCTTGGAATCGGCCCTGACAGCTTTCTTAATTTGTCTGTAATATATCCCCACATCTACCAAAGACAAAGACACCTATGCCTTCCCTAAGGAATTATACTGTGATTGGCCACTTATATGATAAAACAACCAGTTCTTTACGTTGGGGCCACGTTTTATCAATGTTTTAGACATTTCACTAGGTTGGGTAAACAATTTTCTACTAGAAAAGTGAGGTTTGGGACTTTGAGATAGATACTGATTGATGTATTGTCTTATTACAGGAATGTCGGATTGCACATCCTATTGTAAAATGTACTTACTGCAGATCAGAATTTCAACAAGAGAGGTTTGTATATTAAACAGTTTTTGACTGTTAAAGAGAAGTGTTGTCTGTATAGAATACCTGGGGGTTGTAATGCCATATATTTATGAAAGTATTTTTTTAAAATTGTTTAGCCCCAGAAATTTTAAGTTGTAAACCTTTTATACATGGTGGGAGAATGTTGCCAAAAAACTGGTGGCTGTTAATTTACAGTTAGATATTGTATGAGAGAAAAAATAAGTTACTACATGGAAAATGTATAGCCTTGCTAATGAAAATGCAAATGTAAACAGTTACTATTAAACTAAAAAAAATATATGGTAAAACAATTACGGACCTGAGGAAAGGTCTGTAGTGTTACCAATGGTCTTCGAAGGGTGAAATCTAGTAATTTATTACATGGAAGAGTAGTACATAAGTTTTTTAACAGTGAGTTCCACTCTGACAGTACATACAGAAAGTAGCCTCAGAGAAGAACAAATAACTTCTTCATAAGTAGGTGTGAGCATTATAGTGTTAGACAGTAGCCAACTGGAAGGCTAGGTGTGCATTAGTATTGTAGTGCTGTGCATTAATGGTGGCAAGTGTAAAGATTTTGAAGCTACGTATGAAACATTGAGATATTTTCTTTACAAAAAGAAATACACAATAAAAATGTATTAAAACATTTGTCTTAATCTGGGTGAAACAACCCTGAAAAGATTCTTGTATTTTTGAAAAAATTCGTGGTCCATATTAGAGTTAAGTTTTAAGCCCTACCAACCTTTGACTCACTCATTTTATTTTGACATTGTGCTAATTACCTTAGAAAGCTAAGTAAACATGATCATTTATATACAATTTCTTTTTCAGCAAAACTAACACAATTTGTAAGAAGTGTGCTCAAAATGTGAAGCAGTTTGGGACGGTAAGTATGTCTTAGGTTTTCATTTCATGTCATTGTTACTAGTCAGTTAATATTTTTCACGAAGCTGGACCTTTTAGAAACTATGTATTGTTATGCTCTTAAATATTTTACCATATGATATTTTATGAAAGAAATTTTCTGTACACATTTTGATGGAAAGGTGACAATATTTAAAAATAGTTAAATTATATGCATGTTTTACATATATTCAATATCAGTGTGAAATTTGTGGAGCTGTTAAAGATTCAAATAGAGCAAATTCTTATCCATAATATTTGTGTGATCAGACTTTAGCCCACTTCAGAACAACCTCCTCAGAACTATTTTTATAAAACAGCACAATTAAGATATTTATTCACAGAAGTTATGACACAATCCTAGTACAAATTGTCTTAGATGTATTCTACAATCATTATAGGTATGTTATACCAATATTATTTATTATTGGTCAGAAATGCTAACGTTAATGTTCTAAACTGTCCTGAATCATGTTTTGAGTATCAAAGAAAATCAAGGTATGTTTTTATGGTTTATGTTGAATATGCTGGTCCCCATTTTTTTTTAAGTTGAAAACTTGCCTATAGTATATATTCCTTGTATTACTTATGCCTATATATGATGAAAAGTTAATATTTTTTGAGTAAATGATACAGTCACTAAGCTAACTAGGATGTTAAATTAGTAGAAGGACATTTCCTCAGATTCTTTGTTCATGAGATTTCTATACATGTATATCTTTATTTTCATTCTTTGAAACTGTTTTTATGTGTAGGTTTTGTATTATCTAACAGACTGTGCAAATCAGAAATCTATTTCTTAAAATCTTAGAGTAATAGTTTTATGACTAGAAGTAAATATTAGTTGAATGCATGGAAATACAGTATAAAAGTCATTTCATATGACAGGATAAGAGAACAAATTTCTTACCTGTGGGTTTTCTTAATTCCAGAAATATGTCTATAATGCTGGGTATATGCTGTGCAACAAATATTTAATGTTTTTAAAAGTCTCATATAAAATGTATATGTTTTTCAGCCCAAGCCTTGTCAGTACTGTAACATAATTGCAGCATTTATTGGTACCAAGTGTCAGCGTTGTACAAATTCAGAAAAAAAATATGGACCACCTCAGACCTGTGAACAGTGCAAACAACAATGTGCTTTTGATCGGAAGGAGGAAGGAAGAAGAAAGGTATGCTTTATTATGTTATGACATTTTCTAGAAATTAAATAAAATGCCAAACAAGGTGGAAATTATAATTAATACACTACTGAGACATGATCTCTTTGGGTCCGTGAAAGCAAGTAGTTAGATGAACATGCAGGAATAGTGAGTGTCCTCCTTGTGTGATTCATATACTACAAAAAACACTCTGTGGTAGCTACTCTGTACTATTTGGCTGTCCCACATTTGGTTCAGGAGATTTAACTAATTACTGTTAAATAACTTCTTTTACTTTACCGCCTTGCTGGTTACTTGACATTGCTGGTGTGAAAAAAATACCTGATGGCACATTGGCACCTAAAATTCAGGTACTCTTGTGCCTTTTGATACGGGCTCATATTTGAAACTACTGTTTGTTTTTGCTTACCTACAGTGACTTACTATAATAAGTATATGTGTTCATGTGATATTCCTCTGCCAGTCAGCATTCACACAGGCCTTCTGTTGCCTATCAATTTTAGCTGATTTGGAGAAGTCCGCTTTGAGGGGCTTCCTCAGGTCTCCCTACAGCAATGTATATTCCCCGTTATAAGACCTGTCCCTCCAGCACGTCTGGTACATACATACCTTGGAGTACTCTGGATGGAATAGATGTGAACAAACAGATAAAAATTTGATTTTATTTTTAAAGGTTTAGTCAGTACTTTTGGAAACACTCTCTCTCTTCTCTGAGACAGGTACAGTTGATTCTCATTATTTGCAGTAGTTCTTTAAACTTCCCATAAAACAGTGAATACAGTAGTACCCTCCCTTATTCATGAGGAATACCTTCTAAAACCACCTGGATGAAACAGATGCCTGAAACTGGGGATAATAACGAACTCTACTGTGTTTTCTCCTATACATACATGCTTAGGATAAAGTCTAGTTTTTAAATTAGGTATAACAAGAGATAAAAATAATAGCAAAATAGAATAATTATAATAACATATTCTAGTTACAGTTATGTGAATGTGGTATTTCTCCCTCAGAATATCATATCATATGTAACATTTTTAGACTAAGGTTGACCATCGGTAACTAAAACTATTGGTCAGGGGGACTACTGTACTGAAACATTGCCCAAGAGAAATATAGGAATAAGTTCACATCTCCAGTAATAACATGTTGGTCAGTTGATCAATATATGAACTTTTTTGTTTGTGTTACTGTTTGAAGACAACTTATTTAATATACACTGCCAATAAATGTAATTGAACTCATGGCCAGCAGCAC